GTGTTAGAGATTCTGCTTTAGTATTTTATTATGATCATTAATTCATTCCTCATAGCTAACAGTTCCCGAAGTCAACAGCCAAGGAATACCACATCTTATTTATCAGCAGCTTGGGCGACGGTTCTTGGCAGAGTCAAGTTTTTGTTATATGAATCCTTCTAAATTGTTCTGGGTCGGTTCTCTAAGGTTCTTTTAAAGTTTCTTATTCACTTATCCGTCCATCTTATTGCTGTCTCAGAAGTGTATTTGGTAGCAATCGACATGAGTACACAATGAGTATTCGAGCAATTTGATCATACTTTTATTAGGGTCATCTTTTCCTAAATATATAAATATTATAATGGGTTATGAACAACTACATTTTTTTTTTAAAGCACAAAATTGTATGATAAAGCTTTACGAGTCAAAATGGTAGACTTAATATAAAATAGGCATTAAATGTTTTTCTTAAATATGGATCATGGAATTATCTGAAAATACATCTAAATGGCCAAGTTATTTTTTAAAATATCTTTTATAGTTTTGCCTTGGTTTATAAAGCTTTATAACTGTTACTTAACTTTATAAGGTTTTACAAATTTTATCTGTTGTTTTAAAATGGCTTGTTAACATACAATGCGTAGCAAAGGGTGATACCATTGATTAAATATACTAAAGAAAGAACGATACCCCAACTGTGCTAATTACAAGTAACAATTTATTTATACCAACAATATGATATACAAGTTAAAAATTATACATATATATATATATATTTTTTTTTTTAAACTATAGCAACTTTCAGCACATGAATACAAATAATAAGACAAAGGTAAAACTATTAATCCATGCACACAGAAAAAAATATTAAGTCTTCGTAGGCCTCTTGTACCTCTGGAACATCTACTGTATTTGTAGCGAGTGAATCAGAACTTCTGGAATAGGAAATCCAGAAACCCAAATGTCATAGAGTTGGTTCTACAGTAGAACCCAGTTATGTCGACGGCCTCAGGGTTTGCCAAAAAGTGTTGAGATAACCGATGATCGAGATAACCGAAATCAATATGGTGGAAATATATGAAACATGGACTTGAAATTTCTTTATGTACACGATGTGCATTTATAAATGAAGTGTATATGCACATGTTTTTGGATTATTTTTTTTTACACAAAGAGATACTGCAATTTGTTTGAAGAATCGATCGGCATGCTATAAAAATGTGCATACATGTTTGCTAACAACACAAGGCATATGAGGGGTGCCACTTTTCCAGATTATCCCGGAATTCCGGATTTGTCATTTCAGTTTATTCAAATACGGATTCTGAGTTTTAAAAAAAAAATCAACCTGTAAGAACACGTGAAAGCCTATATTAAGTGACAAGCGGGTTCGTTATAAATAGAACAGGAACTGCGACCTTTTGTTTGCAAGTCTCTTGCTCCTTTCTTCTTTCTGTGTCAAGTTAATTGCGAGGACAACAATATTGTCATTTCATTTCAATTACTACAGTTTGAAATAGGTACCTTTCTGTTGTATTTAATTTTCAAAAGCAGGCGATTGGTCATTGGGATCGAGATAACCGAAGTTAAGTTGCAAATATGGCCACCTTTTGTGCTCGAGGTATGAGGGTTCGTCGACATAAAAGAATCGACATAACCCAGGAGAAAATGCTAAGACAACGAGAGAATTTGGCGGTTCCCCTTCAAAAACGTCGACATAACAGGGTTGGTGAGTTAACCGAGTCGAGATATGCGGGTTCAACTGTACTTCCATGTAGGACCCTTGGAAATCATGTAAGCACACTTTCCCAATTAAGGGAGGTTGGAGGAGAAGTGTTGCACCAAGTAAATTGGTGATTCATAGAAATAACAATAAGGGAGATAAGGGATTACACTATGGAACTCTACCAGGGTATGACAGTTACCCTCCTCTATTGATAGCAGATACAAATATAATCTGAAATGGAATATGCTGAGAAAAATTATAAACATTATACTCACATTGATTTAGTAGACTGGTGTAGCTCATATTCACAGGGTAGATTCTTAATGAGCTAAACAAATGCAAAGGAACAAAATCAAGAATCTCATTAAGCAAGTATATTTCTCTCAAATCATACATAACAGCTACCTTCTCGATATCAACATTACTGGTTAAGTAAACATGTAGAAAATGAAATGTCTTCTCTAAAACCTTAAAGCTGACAGGAAAAATAAAAGATGCTATGTGTCCCCAGTGGCAAAATTAAAACATTATTTTTAAGTGTAAATTGCCTTGCAGTAATACATTATTTAGCAATGATTTGAGGCAGTCAAGTGTGGTAGAATACTTTTAAACAAAAGAGAGGTCACAGTGACTGTCAGGTCATGGAATCATAAGTGAAATGTGTATTGTGTTATTTAATCATTAGGTTAAGTGAGCGACAGTGAACTCCTGTAATAGCTCAAGGACATGCTTTTATTGGTTTCAAAGAGGTGATGTGATGCATAATAAATAGGGTTAAGTGAACTGCTGTGAACTCTAGTGACATTTCAAGGACGGGTACGGGCATTGGTTTAAAATAGATGAGTGATGCATAATAATAGATTAAGTGGGCAGCTTAAATTTCATGCTGCAAAAGTCCTTGTCCAAAGGTTGTAATTTGTGTGAGTGTTTTAGAATGAGTGAGTATATAAATATATATATATATTGTGAGTTATCAAGTGATCAAAGAGAATGATTTGAGGGATGTTGATAGCTTGAGTTTTCTGAACCTTGTGGTATATTTGGATAAAGCGACCGTCCTTAGAGCAGGAATTAGTGTACCGAGGACACTATCAATATTCATGTATATTCAAGCCTAGCCTACTACCTGTGAACAGATTACAGTGCAAATAAAAAAATATTGTTTACTTGGTGTTGGAATTTGTACTTCTTATCGGTCAACACAACCATGCTGCATCTGTCACTCAAGCACTCTAGAACCAACCAGACATCCAAAAGCATGCTACCCATGGCACCATAGCACCCTAGACAACACAACCAAATATAAGACAATAGCCAAAGCAATATTTTGACATTAGGTCTAACGAATATTTCAAAGTGACCAATCTCTTGATTGAAACTAGCATTCTTAAAAAAAATAAACGAAAATTTTGTTATAAAAAATCTTCCATCAATAATGAGACAGTAAATTATTTTTAATTTTTTTAAAATATATTTGTTTATCTATCTAACAAATTAAAAGGCCAATTTTTATAAAAAGTTAAACTTATCATGAACCCACCTGTAAGCTTTGGGTAAAATGAAAGGTATTTTCAAGTCTGGCATAAAGAATCTAAAACTGGAGAGAAAAAAATGAAGCAGCAAATGAAAGATTAATCTGCTAAATGGTTTGAGTTTGATATAGCAAGTAAATTTAATTATTTAGTGATTCTATGAATGCTAAACTGGTATTAAAATCAAATAAATTAAGTGAAAATATTAGGAAAAGAGATTAACTTTTCTATTTCATACTTCTTTCCATTTGAGAATTATTTTATTTTTTAAATTTAGATATGTTTAAAATTCCTAGATGGGCCTTCAAAAATATACATCATGGAATTTATATTTTATTTTAATTTCCATTAATAGAACATTATTTAAGTATTAACAAATATAAATGGTATAAATCAAACTGTTGCAATTTAATGCATTCCATGCCATCTTTAAAAAATGTATAATTTTTTTAACAATCGCATTTGCTCTGGCCCTATATAGGTAAAACTATAATATGAATTGTTTTGTAGTAAATTTTCAGGTGTTTATTTTCATTAAATGCAAAACAATTTTCTGTATTATTTCTTTCAATATTAAATATATACCAGGTGTTAGCTTATTAAATTGAATTACATGAGGGCTAATTCCATTCCAGATAAGTAAACCATTAACAATCCATTTGCTATTGTTATGTATTGTTTTGAAAATGTATCATTATTCTTTGAGGAAGTTTGAGTTTCCAACAACAAAATAATCACATTTGAGAATCTGATTGGATTTTTTGTACATATTATATTGTATTAATTTGTGTAATTTGTCCATGTTGATCGTCAACATATTTACCTTTAATGGTGTCTTTGTTCAGGGCACATCAATCTAATCATCCAACTGCTACATCCCTCAAACGAGAATTTCATCAATTGAAGATCTGCTCAACTTATCAATATTTTGAGTACAATACTTTTTAGTTTGCACCAGTGAACACAAACTAGTATTGCCCAAATGTTTTCTTTGCATTTTCAATATTACTACTTGACTGACAAGTGAATATCAAAGATTAAGACTTAACTAACCAACTTTTTAAATTTGTTATTTTAAAACCGTAATGCAATTCCTCTACCCTTGTTTTTTAAATAAGATGATGATGTTGTTTTTTTTTAAGAGTAATTCAAATTAAAAAACAAGTGAATAATTAAAATGAAATTTTAATATTTGTAAATATTTTCGGAAGTTGTGTGAAAACTTTCTGTCAATCAATAGGGCAACAATTTTTTTTTTTTTCTAAAAGAAGAGCTGAACAATCCCATAGAGTCAAACAGAACGAATATTTTTGTGTGTACCGTTATTAAATAAGGATTACTTTGAACTTAACACAAGAATACTGTGCACAGCAGTGATTAATATCTACAGAATAACTTTGGGAGTTCTGTATCGAAGCAAAAATTATAATATACTTTTTGATGAAAAAAAAACTATTTACACTGAAAGAGTTTTCTTATTTTCAAGTTACTATTTTTGTTTTCTGCACTCACTTTCAAATTTTCATAATTCAATAAATATTATTATTTATGATTCTGGTTGTTCATCATTCTAAAATTCATATAATTTCATTAAAACTTGAAATTAGTAAAATAAAAAAAAATAATTTAAAAATTTATTATAAGTACTAATGCATAAATGCAATCAATCTAAAAAAAAAATTTTTGTATTTAAATTGTGATGAGCAAGTTTTTGTCAGTCAAATTACTGTTTAAAAATATTAAGTCACAAAACCGGATACAGAGGTTTGAAAAAAATGACATTTATTTCACTTAAACAGTAACCATTCCACAAAACCAATTATATTCATAATGTACATTTTTTAAGTGACTTTAAACGTATGCAGGATTGTTTAAAACGTGCTTCGTTAAAGAAAAATTATGGACACACTGTATTATCTACATACATTGTCTACTTTAATCCGTACTTAGAAGTTACTGAAATCAATGCATAAGTCATCCTGATTAATACATTGTTTTGTAAGCTTAACTCTTATTACTACTTTTGTATTGTGCATGCATAGTTGTTTTGTTTGAGAAAAATGTTTTTTTCTTGCCGATGATGTTTTGTTATTTTCTATCTATATTTAAATAAAGAGTGATATTGACATATTATTTTTAATTTATTACTTGGTACTAAGGTACCGTAACAAAAGCTAAAATTACTTTCAATGTTTCATGTCCATTAATTTGAAGAAAACACACATTCTAAACACCAGAAGATAAACAACATGAAATAGTTAATACATGAATTATGTCATTTGACTGGTATTCTTCATGAGAATACACTAGACATTGCTGAGATATTTTTTTTTTTTTTAAATATATATAAATAAAAATCATTCACCTGTATTTTTAAATCATATTATATACATAATATATATGTATATATAATCTTTAAAATACATTTTCATTAATGTTAAAATAGTCTTTCAAAGCCTTTTACACTTATTTTGCTAACATATTTTCCAAAGTAACATTTAAAGTAAATTACCGATATATTTCTAAAAATTACAAACCATTTTATAAGTAGGTTATCAAATTAGTTCACACATTGAGTCTCTATTTGGAAACAATTTTGACCAATGCCTGGACAGAAGTGACCAATGAATTATTTAATATTTATTTTAGTAAGATATCAAATAGCTTCAATGTATTATGTTGATTTTTCTGTTTTACAAGATATGAATTAATGACCTATTAAAATACAATATTTACAATATAAATGGCAGCATTACTGGCATTGGCTTAAACTTAATCTTAAATAAAATGCACTAAAAAAAATTCTCTCTCTTGCAATTATATTATGTGAACACATATTTTTGTTCAATTTACCTTTTTCTTTAAATATGAGTAGCAACTGAAATGAATGGACTATATATAATTATGTTTGTGCTGAAGGATAAAAAGTTCTCTTTCATGTTTTGTAATGTATCTAAATTATTGTGTATTGCTTCTCAATTGTATGTTGTGTAATACAAAAATGCACAACACTTGCAGAAAACTGCTGTAAAAAGATAACGATCTTAAACAACATTGCTTAATCACTGGTAACTTCAAATTACACTATTTATGAGTCAGTGTTTAAAATGTAAACAAAAAATTGTTTATTAAATGTTATGTTATCTTACAGGCTTTGTTATTAGTAAATAGGATTAAATTAGGCACTAATTCTTTTTTTTTTTTTTTTTTTTTTTTAAAGTTATGGATATGAGTACAAAACAATCAACATTATGCCTGCAATTAGACACACCTTGCTACTCTAAAACCAAATCTATTAACTTTTTTATTACTTGTTTTCACGAAAAAGTTTTCTAAATATTTATTTCCAGACACAAATCCCATGAAGCTAATGGTATTTAAGTACTTCCACAATCTACAGAGCAAAATATGTTTAAAACTGAACACTAATTATACAAAAGTCTAGGAATCCAATCCCTTACCAACAAAGTAATTAGTTACCGAAACAATTATACATCTAAAATTGGAAGCCATTAAAATATTTAAAATAAACCACAAACCACATTTGATGGTTAATGGTGGTATTCAGTCATCAACTATTGACTTTTAAGACTCAACAGATCTCTCAAAAACAGTTCTGAGAAATGGTACTAATTACTTTTTGTGCTGCTGCATAATGAATCCTGTGTTGTAGCCATTGCATAAGTTTATTATTATTAATTATTTTAATTTTACAACTATTCTAATGATCTGTTTGTTTTTCTAATACTACCATTTTAAAAATGTATTATTTTTTTCAATTTTGTATCACTGATCGTAAAACAATCATTTTTTTTTTTAAAGTAGAAAATAAAAGTTAGAACAGAACAAGAGACTAAAATAACTGATGAGATGTGATGTCATTTCTTACAATTAATATAATCTGTGCCTATCAATTCTATGTGCGCCCTGTGGCTATCAATGAACTGTATTCATATAAATGCAACAGTAAGAATGAGTGTTTTATAACATCGAAGTTACATTTCCATTACTCTGGTCAAACTATATTTACAATTACTATTGGCACCTGGTCGTTTCTACATGTTGACAAATACAAAGAAAGGTTCAGCAAGTCATGAATGCTGTGTCAATACATTTGATTTCACAGCAGCTGTTATAAATTTAAAAATGCATTACAGTTTCATATTGCTAAGACCAATATATCTGTAATATGTGGGGGGTGTAAAAATGACTGCTGAATGAAATTCAGTAACAATGAACACTTTTCTGTCTCCACAATGTCATGTTTCTTCTAATTGTATTTCAGCACTCCATATTTGTGCCATGTTTAATTAACCCTTGTTCTATATTCAGGAATACTATTTCAGCTATTTGGAGTGTCTGTGGCAGAGTCATCATCACTTGGTGTTTTATGTCTGAAGCTAAATTGGAAGAAGTAGGGGAGATTAGTCTGAATACATGTTTAGGGGAGATTAGTTTTGAAAATAAGTTTAGTATAGATGCCTAGAGGCAGATCAAATTAACTGAACTTAACTTTTAAACTTTTATTTCACTATTTTTTTACACTGCTGTAACAGTAAAATTACTGCATTAATATTATAATATTTTTGTTATTCAGCAGCATGTTTCATTTCTGTAGTAACTGCTTCAAAGTTAGTAAATTATAAATCTTGAGGCAGAATACTCTTTTGAATTAGTGAATAGATTTGCATAAAGCAACTTTGGCATTCATTTGTAATGAAAGATTCTAATTAATTAAAATGTGCTAGTGGTAGTTAACAAAAAAGTATTTGTGTAGTGTCTGTTGTTTTTTTACAGTAACTCTTTTAATTTTAAGTGGTTGCATATTTTGAATTGGAATTAATGACTCACATTCTTTGCTGCAAAAAATTACTGAATTCTTAAGAAATTTTTCGGAAATTTAATTTTACTTTTCTTGTCCATTCACCTTAATGTGCACTAACTGACTTGGAAAATAACGAGCTTGATGGACATCCATCATTTATGTGCTGATAATTTATTAATGGTTCTCGTGTAGTTATTTTTTTAGTGCAAAATTTTCTCGTCATATTTTGATTGAAATAGTTTTAATGTTAGTTTTTCACATAATTTAGGCAATATAAGAGCTGATAATGACTAATCCATTTTAAATGAGGTTTGTCAGATTGTTAACAAAGATATTTGTATGAAATGGACCCTGTGTAAGAAATTGAATATGGCTTCCTCATTTGATCAATAAATAAAAGATATATTGAGAAGATCAAAAGCCTCAAAAAGATTGGACTTACCATTAAAGCCCCCTATAGGCTCCCTCTTGTCTAGAGCTGTAGGCCTCATAAACACCACTCCTGTCCAATCTATGCAATGATACAAGTCATAATATCAGGTGAACATGGCATATGTTATTAATTTATCATGGAGTATTTTAAAATTTAGAATCTTCAGAGCTAGCTTAGGGTAAAAAAACAACTAGATGGCAAAACTGGTTAGTTGGGTAAGATAAGGTGCTTTTATTGATCCATATAAATTGATATTTGTTATTATGTCAGTCACCATATTGTAGAGTGTGGCTCTGGTAGGGACTCATTTGGTATTGTGGGTCAGCTAACCAGTAAACAGAAGGACACATTTTTGCCAAATAACATTGCTGTGGGCGAGCTGCCAAACACTTTCAATGAGTTCTTTATTAAGAAAGTCAGGAAGATCAGAGCGAGACTTGACAGTTGCACTGATGGTCCCGATTTCTTGCCGTTTAACGGCACTCCTATCATAACTTATATAATAAATCAGTCTTTAAAATCTGGTAATGTTCCATCATCTTTTAAAGAGACGGTTGTAACTCATCTGCTAAAGAAGGTGAATCTCGACCCAAATGTGTTGGAAAATTATCGCCCCGTCGCCAATCCACCATTTGCATAGAAGATTTTGGAGAAAGTCATTCTCCGCCAGCTCCTGAATCACCTCACTCTGTGCGACTTGTTTGAGCCTTTCCAGTCAGCATGCAGGGTGCATAACTCTACCGAGAAAGCCCTGTTGCGCATCATACATGACCTTCTGTCATCTTGTGGTCATGGCAGGGTATCCCTTGTTTCGTTACTGGATTTATCAGCTGAGTTCAATACACTTGACCACATCATACTTCTCCAACGTCTGGAAATTACGTTCCATTTCATCGATGCCGTCCTGAAATGGTTCCATTCGTATCTGACAAATCGGGTCCAGTCAGTTATCGCAAACGGCGTGACCTCAAAGCAATCTATCATCGAATTCTGAGTACCCCAAGGCTCGGTCCTAGGCCCGGTGCTTTTCACTATGTACATTCAGCCCCTGGGTGCAGCGATCAAGCAGTTTGATATGCTATATCACATGTTCGCGGATGATACCCAACTTCAGATATCTGTGCTCCCCTCTCAGTTCCCTCGGCTTCTTAGTATGACACAAAAGACAGTGGAGTCAGTTAAGCACTGGATGACTATAAACAAGCTTAAATTGAATGATGAAAAGACCGAGCTGATCCCCATTTCTACCGCTCAAAAGCTAAAATATATAACTAACACACAAACCCTTACTCTCTAAGGTATACAGATAGCGTTTGCCCAAACATTGCGAAACCTGGGTGTCTATTTAAACAGAACACTAACTATGGAAAATCACATTAACAATCTTTGCAAGGCGATTTTTCTAGAGCTGCGCAGAATTAGTCATATCAGACCTTTCTTAACATTAGACGCTTGGAAGAGGCTAATGTCTGCATTCGTGCTATCACGCATGGACTATTGCAATGCTCTTATGGTGGGTCTTCCAGCTATCCTCCTGGATAAAATTCAAAAAGCACAGAATAATGCGGCTCGCATTGTTCTTCGAAAACGCAACTTCGACCATGCTAAAAAACTTTTGAGAGAGTTGCATTGGCTGCCGGTCCGGGCTCGCATAGAGTACAAAATTGCAGCTCTGTACTACCGCTGCTTGCATGACCTGGCATCGTCCTATCTCAAAGTGCTACTTACGCCTTATGTATCCACTAGACAACTCCGCTCATCTGATAGTGGAAAACTCTCGATACCATGTGTTCGCCTTGAGACTTACGAGGGGCGCACTTTTGCATTTGCTGGCCCAACAACTTGGAACACTCTTCCTATCGCTATCAGAAACAGCCAGACACTGGAGTCTTTCAAAACTGATTTGAAGACTTATCTTTTTCGCAAACACCTCCTAGTGATGTTGTCAATCTAGCTATTATCTTTTAGATATATTGGCCTGTGTTGTTTATGGTTGCAAGGTATGAAAGACTTAGAAAGGGTATTCTTGTATGTAGTTTTGTAATGTTGAATTTTATACTTTAATGTGGTATATACCGCACTTCGAGCCTTTGGGGATGAAGCGTGATTTTTAAATAATCTTTATTATTATTATTATTATTATTAAATTGCATACATTGTTTTCATTCCTGAAAGTCTCTGTCTATTTGTTGTTCACCAAAATTGGCCAGCAGCTCACAGGAGAGCTTTTATTCAAGAGCCTTTGCTATCAATTACAAAGTGAACTATTGTGAGCAATATTAAAAATAATTAGCTAATATTCAAGTTCCCAACCTGGCAACCACAAATTGGGTCGTGAAGATATTCTGTGGGGTCACCAGCTGAAAAAGTAAACTAAAACTAATCTGCTTCTATAAAATAGGGTCGCAGCTTTAAAAAAAGCGTTTGGAGACCATTATCCAAGAAATGAAAAATTAGACAACATTTTAAAAAATTAGAGCCTTAAATAAGGTTCTTGCAAAAGATGGTTTTTTTATGTCCAACACAAGTGGAATTTTAGAACAAACCTCTCTCTCTTGGGTTGTGCCTGGGCAGATCTGTAGTCTTCATATTCTCTGTAATCTCTTTTCACACCTGTTACAGGTGCTCCTATACCACGAGACACATCTCCTTCCTCGTACTGATCGATCGGGCGCTTTCGGCTGTAAGGGTCACTTTATTAAAGATATGCCCATTTTTAAAAAAAAATAGTTAACATGGAGGGATGAAGGTGAGGGTGAGAATTATGATAAAAAAAACAATGAAATATGTTTAAAAGATACAGCTATGTGGAAATTATGATAGATAAAACAATGAAATCTGTTTTAAAAGATACAGCTATTTCAAATGTTTCAATTTAAAGTAAAAGAACTTAGGAAAAAAGCTGAAAACTCCATAAACCGCAGTTCTTTTATGGGTTATTGAGGCATAAAAATGTTCCATCCCCATGCTTTAAAATGTCCCTAACACATTTCTAGCCTCAAGCATTGACCTTACACTGTATGCATTTAGCCCTATGTTTTTATATGTATATATAGAAGAATAAATATTTCAAAATGAGAACATGGAGATTTTAAAGACATAAATAATTAATCAAACTCATTCAGTAAAAAACCTGAGTACCTCACAACAGGTTCAGCTGCTACACGGGAACTTGGTGGATATGACACATAGGCATCTGTTTCTGCTGCTACCCTCTGGTAAGGATCTTCCCTCATTCTAATATCAGGATCAACCCTTTAGAAGATAAAGAGCCTGCTAAAAAGATGTTATTGAAAATGTACATGCATGGTTTAATTTTGCTAGCAATAAGACAAAGAATGAATCACAATATGACAGTTAATAAAGAAAACTGTAAACATTCAAAACAAACTCCTTTTTTTTCTTTTTTTTTCTTTCTTTTTTTTACCATTTTTGGGCAATTTAACATTGATACCCTTAAAAAAACTATTTATAGTATTTCAATAATTACGTTTAAATGCAATCATCTACTTTTTGAATTATAGTGATAAAAGAAGAAACAATTTTAGCAAAGTTCCTTACCGCCTTGGAGGTAATCTCCTGGCATCTGAAAACTGTTCCCTACCTACTAAAGGAGCAGAAGTCTGATAATCAGGATAGCGGTTTGTGGGTCCTAAACAGAGGACACATCATTTATAAATTATTAATATTGGAGGAGCTCAGTACAGTAAGACACTTGACAGATCATTCCATTTTAATGGAATTTTAACAAACTAATGAAACCCTAACCACACAATTAAAAATTGTAAGAAACCATGGCTGCTGTGTCATAAAATTTCTCAAAATAAAGAGCAAGCTATGAACAGCATCGTAGATTGGGATAAAAATATTTGACTAACCATGTTCAAAACAACTCAAGACTTTTACAACAACCTATGGTCTCGGAAACCCTAGAGTTTAGTAAGTGATTCATAAGTTTATATTGAAAAACACCCAAACATTTGATGTTATAAAAATCTTTATTACAATTTATTCTGATCTTGCCATAAATAATTTTTTTAAAACCTGTAATATTATGCTTTATAAAACATTGTGTAAAGACAAATCATCATCATATCATAGAATCATATGAAATAATCTCTGGATGAAGTGTAAGTACTCACCCATTGCTGCATGTCTCACAGGTGGCTGATCTCCAACCAAAGCTTGTGGTTTATCATGGGGTCTTTCCATAACATACCTAAAAAGCAAAACATGTAATGCATTTTTTAAATTACCTTGATCAGAATAAAAAAGTTCCAGAAAAGAATGTAGCCTGAGACAACCTAATTAAAATTGCATTAACTTAACAAAGCCTGTAGTATGTTAAAACAATATGATCAAGTCTTTTTATTAAATGGTCATTTTCTTTTTTTTTTTAAATGACACCAATCTCCACAGAATGTAGATACATTTTTAATCAATATTTAAAAAATAAAATAATTTAATGTGGATCCAGTCACAGTATAACCAAAATCAAATACCTGTATATAATGGAGAGCATTATAATATTTTTATAAAAATAGAAAGTATGTGTGAGATAAAAGAAACTCTTACATATCATCCCCACTGGCAACAGCAGGTCTGGGTCTACCAGCTGGTGCTTGTCTTGCTGTGGGTGCTGGTCTTCTATTATATGAGTCTCTATAAGGATCCTCTTCATAAGGACCAGGTCCTGCATAATTCCCAGCAACTGGCACGGGCTGCCTTTTATACATGGATTCATCAGCATATGGCTCAGCCCCCAACAAAGCAGTGCGTCTGCCTGGAGGGGCACCTCGACCTGCTGGCGCACCACGGCCATTGGGCCCACCGCGACTCAATAGGGCACCCCTGACCACAGGAGTTCCACGACTAACAGGAGCTCCTCTGCCACCCCTAGAAGCTGGAAAGTTATATACAAAAATCAAAATAACTAAATAGTTAAAGATTCAAATACATGAAATATAATAACGAAAAGTAAAACAAGCTAAGGTTGGTATAACCAAGTATTCTATGTTAATTTTACCATACCTCCATGAACTGGCACATTAGCCCTAGGCCTATCATATGTATCTGGGGTCTCTTCCTCATAAACTTCCTCAGAATATGATAGGGGTGGAGGAGCTCTTCTTTGCATGTTTGCTGAATAAAACAGAGGAACAAAAGTAAAAATGGTTTGGTTTTTTTTAAAAGCCAACACTCACTGTAATGCCTTGAAGCAAATAATTTTGACAAACACTTTAACTGTTAATACTTTAATGTGAATCAACATCATCTTTTTAAATAATTACAATTGAGTAGAGCTCCTGATTTTTTTATTTTTTTTTAATTTCAGACTCTGCCATTAAAGCACTTTGTCAATTTCTAAATATCAGATTTTTAAATGTGATTAATAAAGAATTTTTTTTTTTTTAAAACTTCTTAAGGATAAAACTTTGTCATATAATTTTATAGCAATGATTAAAAATCATTTTCATGAATAAGTATGGCTGATTTAAAATATTTTTTTAATGGATTTCCTGAAAACCCAGTGTAAAGAACTTTAAATGGTATTCTTACTGTTTAAGATCTGGATTAAATAAATATATCCTCTCTCAAAATGTTCAGAACATTGACACTTTTGATGCAGCTACCAAAATGGAGCTGATCATCAATAATAACGAAGACTATAAACTAATTTATGGAAAAATTTTGAGAGAAAACGTACCTTGGGGCCTGGGAACTCTTTGAGGCATACTTTGCTCTTCATAGGAATATCCATACTCATCAACTTGATTCTGTCTTGTTGCAGTCTGTAAAGGATCAGGTCTGCCCCTGCCTCTGGGCAAGGCTCCTCCTCTTCCTCGAGGTGCATCAGGTCTTTCCATGTAATACTCCTCAGATGTACCAGCTTCTTCAGCAAAGTGATCATCATAGCCTTCATAGGCCTCACTACTTTCAAAGTATTCCTCCCCTTGATAGCCATTGGCGTCCTCACCATAATACTCTTCTGCAGGCTGACCTCTCATCTGACCAGCATAAGGCCCTCTACTACCCCGCGCTGGTGGATTGGGAAGCAGTGCCCGTCTTGAAGGACCTCCTCTGAAATCATGACCTCTCATGGGGACATTTTCAGAGGGACCCCCTCTTCCTCTTCCAGGTGGCCCACCTCTGTCTTGTGGAGCACCTCTTCCAAAGTTATTTCCTCTTCCTGGTGGACCTCCTCTTCCCATAGGTCTCCCTCTACCAGGTGGTCCTCTAAACATCCCCCCACGGTTTCCTCTCTGTTGAGTGAATTCTTCATAGCCTGCATCTCCATATTCAAATTCATCATAGTATTCCTCCTCTTCATACATTCCCATTTCATTGTTAAACCTTTCTCCACCATAATGTGGTCCTCCCTGCATGCCTCTGCCTCTGGGCCCACCTCTATCCCCAAATCCTCGACCCATGTCCCAACCTCTGCCTCTTTCCATTCCTCTGCCTCTCCCACCTCTATCCCATCCTCTCCCACCTCTGTCCCATCCTCTTCCACCTCTGTCCCATCCTCTTCCACCTCTGTCTCCACCTCTGCCTCCTCTACCCCTGGGTCCCCCTCTCACACCCCCTCTTGCATCTTCAGTCATCTTTTTTGTCTTTCTTAAGCCTATTACTGCCTGTTCACAGTGAATGGGCATCTCTCCTCCTAAATCCTAAAAAGGGAACAATTAAGTTTTCTACTGAAGGTGCAATATTCAGATCATTGTATTTTAAAAATTCACTAGAGGCAAATTGAGAAGAAAGAAAGAAAAAAAACTCAAGCATTTACTAATTGCATTAAATTTATTCAATTATAAAGAAAATTAAGGAAAAAACAAACAAAAAAATAAACCCCAGTAAGTTTTACTTTATAAACTACTAGTTTAAAATGTAATTACTCTCGATCACAATTAAATAAATTACCTTTCCTTCCATAGCTTTGATTGCGTCTTCTGAATCTTGTGGATTCTCATATGTTATAAATGCAAAGCCTCTAGGTAAAGAACTTCTTCTATCTCTGATGATATTCACTAATAAATACAGATAAAAATGTAACAAAAATAAGCCAACCCCAGTGCAATTTAAACAGGAAGAGTTTTCTGTGAGCTTAAAAGTATAAGTAGTTTAAAAGAGTTTGAAGAGCTCCAAAAGATAGGATATGATAAGATTCTTTATTGATCCAAATAATGGAAATGTTTTTTGATTACATTGTACAATTTTTATTTTCGAAATAAGTACATTTTTTAACCAAGACAACATAATACAATTATAACCGATTGTTTTCAGCCAATCTGCATCCTCAAGTCCATGATAAATAAACCTACACCTATAAATATAATTTTAATTTAAAATTACAATTTGTTTATCTCTGTGTTAGTTCAAAAGCACTTTTACTTGTAAAATGTAAACCAGTACCTTCGGTTATTCTTCCAAATGGTGCAAACTCTTTTTCCAATTGAGCTTCTGTAAATTCCTCATGCTTTGGTATGCCTGACACCATGAGTTTCCCAGGTGTATCAAGTTCTTGTTTTATTCTGGATTTTTCTGGTTTTCCACTTCCAGGGGTAACAATCTCCTGCTTGTCTTCTTGTTTCTTTTCAGGCGTTTTTACATCATTCTCCATTCTGTGAATTTCCTGAACATACTTTAAAGGCCATTTAAGGTTTTTAAGTTATATTATATTATCGCAGTCTAGCCCCTTACAATTAGCTGTATAAACACAATTATCATGAAATGAAGTGATTCAAAATTATTTTTTTAAATTTTAATGCCCTGAAATAAATTATTTGTTTCAGCTGATGGTAACAGCATGTCTCTGTAGTAAATTATTTTTAGATGATTACCTCAATGGAAAATTTGATATTTATATTTATAGTCACAAACACAGATATCTGCTTAATGTCTAACAATGTAACACTAATTACTGGGGTTTTCTTTAATTACCCATAGTTAGATAATCTATTTTAAGAGAGCTGCAAAGTCGGTGTTCCACACATGAACAATAATGGACAGGGTATAGGTTGTACAACAATAAATCTTTAGTTATAAAATGGCAGAAAGGATTTAATTTACTGGGAAAATATTTATTGTCTGGTGAATAGAGTAATTTAAATTCATTCCCTAGAAATTCATAATTTGCTTATAAATTTCATAAATTGGCAGTATATCAATAATTAATATAATAAGCCAGGTGTTTGCAGGGTGGCCAATGAGGGATCTAGGTAAAAAAAAAAAAAAAGATTTATATTTAGACCAGTGTTAGGCAGAGGGAGATATCATTAACTGAGATAGATTATCTCTAACTGCTCTAAGCATAATTCATTATGAATAAGGTTTGACTTTAGTTTGTCCAGAATTTTTTTTATGAGTTTGCTTTTAACTGTCTAGACATTCGTTAAACATCCAAGTTGTAGGTAAAAAGTAAGGCCACTCCGTATCCCTCAAATATGCAAAAAGACAAGTAAAGACCTCAGTCTCAGCTCGGGAGTTGCATATTGTGAATCAAGATTATTACATTTGCAATCTAATGACAATACCCTGTTGTCAACAGAAGATTGGGAACAGAAAGATTCAAAATTGTTGGGCATGCACAATGAAAAAATTTGAGCACTGTGAAACTCATATCATTCTAATCTTGCAACATGCGGTACTTTAACAATACTTAAATTTTTCCTAAATTTATTATTTTTTAGTGAGGAGCAGGGATTTAATAGATTATTATTATGAGCTTTAAACTGTCTTCCCCTTTGCGAGTTTTTTTAGGCATAACATCCTATAAAGCTGTGTATAAAGTAAGAATGATTTTCTAAAAAGTAAATGTGTTGTTAGCAGCATGGCCATGGGTTTTGCCAAGAGTTGTCTATCCCTAACCACAGTGATATCACTTTGCCATTAAGGAATTTCAAATCTGGACATCAGTGACTTAAGTAAGGTGACAGGACTAACAGCTGGGCCTGAAAGACTTGTATGATAAATTTCCCTTCCTTCAATGAGCATTATTTGTGTCATCACCTAAATCTAACAATTGATACAGTTAAAAAGAAGTATATTAAAAAGGCAAACTTATAATAATAAGGTTCAAAAGAAATTTTTAAAATGGAAACTTATCCCTGTTGTTAGTTACTGTTACCCCAAGATGAACACAAGAAAAAAGATATTGTCATTGTGATTATTTAAAGTGATGTCTTTTGATTGGTTGAAAGGTAACCAAATGGTATTGACACTATTGAGCTATTCATTTCTAATATTAATATATGTTCATTAAATATTAAAGTAAAGAAGAACTAAAAATAAAACTAAAACCTTTTTGTTGAATACAGAACTGGTAGTACTGATAGTAAAGATAGTTGATCTGGGGAACCTCCATGATCAAGTATCTGAATATGGTAATCTATATACCATGGTCATGAAAACATCGCAGGCCTGGAACTAACTGAATTTAATGAATGTTAGTCGTTAGTCTAGGCCTAGTGGAAAATGAATATTCAAATAATATTGAATATTGATATTGGTTGGAGGGATGATTTAAAAATTAAGTTTCAGGTGATGGTAATTAAAATTACCATGGAGGGAATTAAAATGTAATTAGGCCTCTTCTTGGTAAATGCAAATGTAAAACAGACATATCAAACATTAAAAGCGTGTAAATGATTTTGATTTGTGCTTTTATTCCTCACCAAGCATGAAGACTCCGAGCCTAATGGTGGCTGCCATGATTAAGACTGAGACAGAAGTCTGGCTGAGCCCAATTGGATGGCCCAATCTGTTACAATTTTGTTGGGTTTAAAATCTACAAAGAACAATTAGTATTTTAGCGTAAATATCACGAATTCACTCTAATTTCACAAATAAATAATTTTTAGGGCTTATTACCTTTAGTTTTAGAACTATACCAAATAAACGCTATATACCGTAATGAGTGAGATCGCAACAGAAATTCGTTCCTTTAGTATCGATCCTCTAAAAACATTTTACAAGTATCAAAGAATCGATCATTTTGCCTTGAGTTGAACTAATGTTTCCCCACTCCAACTTAAGATTAATTGATTCAAATTATGCATAAAATAATTTTAGTATCATATCCTAATCGTAATCAGCGAAAAATCAAAGAATGACGAGACAATTATGACAGATCCATATAGCACTATTGTAATCGTAATTCATTTACTTTTACAATTCCAAAAGCCTTACCGGTCTGCGGGCTATTACCGGAAGCTTTAATCCGACCAGATAATAGGATACTTCTCATGCCGATCAGGCTTTTGAAGTTGAAGTACTTTATTTCTTATGAATAAATTATATGCTGAATTTTTATCGAGCAGATATTAATATTTTTTTTTAAGTTTTGAGTTTCATTAATTTTAGTTATTCAAGGAAGATACAAAATCAGACTAAATTGTCCTTCATTTTATTGTATCGTACACACGAAAAAGATGGTTTGTGGTATTACTTACAGGACTTGGGCCTACTTGTTACTTGTAGCCTATCTTTTATTAATTTTGAAACAAAATTTAAACCGTAAATTTGATATTAACATGCAGTGGAATCCCGAACTCGGATACAACTCGGTCTAGTCATGGCTCACGACATTCCGTAAATGTATTCCCAAATCATAAATCTTTTTTAAGTACGTGAAAAAATGACTAACAATTAGGCTAATACCCGTAGCCTATATCACTATATTTTCTCGAACAACCAAAGTCATCCAAATTAGTCCAATTTTTAAACATCCCAAAGTGATAGCTCCCTAAAGATAATCTCGAACTAGCCCAAGTCACTAAATTAGTCAAAATTTTTAACACCCATAGTCATAGTTCCCTAACACAAGAGATTAAAAAATATGTTTTTTAAATACATTATAATACATATGACATCTCTAAACATCCTACCTTCAAATTCCCATTACTATTGGTAAGGAATATTGTACCTGAAACACTACTATAAAAGTAATTTGAGTTTATGGTCCCCAAATTAATGCGTTATCACTGTACTATCATGTGTTAGCTGGAACTAAAACTGACAGTATGGTAATTATGATTGGTTTTTCTTGGGCTTATATCATTTGTTGGACTCAAATATTTTAAAAACCAGTTCGTTACCCTAATGAAAAAAATATTTTTAAAAGATGTACTGAAAGCTAGTTTATTATTTCATGTGTTAACACTTAAATAAGAACAATAAAAGGGGTACAAAACGTTTCAATCTTAAACATATATTATAAGAAAGATGAACATTAATAACTAGTAAAGAATTTCACTTTGTGATTCCTACATTGGGTTGTCTAGATCTTGGAGAGAACCCTGCTTATTAGTGACAATTAACAACCAGTTTGAAGTACTACTCAAAATAATTAGGTATTGGCTATGCCCAACCTGCAGATACCATGTCAATTATTAGGCAGCTTATGACTATATAAGATTATGCCTGCATGTTGTTACCTTACATGAAAAATGTCACCTATATTTGTATTTTCAATACTATGATAGGCCTAAATGTCAAAATATTTTTTTTTTAATTGCACTAGTCCAAATTGGAAGGATGAGCAGCATGTTGTCTTTTTTTACTGCTTTTCTATTTATGTCCACATATTCAAAAATAAAATATGCTTAGATTTCTGTTATGCCATTTTCTTTTTAACAACATTCTCTTCTTTTGAAGTCTATAACAAAAGCTTTTTATTGGTGCAAAATTTTAAAAAAAGATATTCATTTAAAATTGGAATTGACCACAATGTTGAAAATAACCACACATGACAATGAATTTTTGTTGTGTACTAAAATCTAATTCCTTTATTTTGAAGGTCATAGTTTATAACTACTGAATATTTAATGCTGTTTTTAAATACAAGTTTGATTTTAGAACAACAAGCACAATAAACATTTAGAAAAAATATGTTTTTGAGATAGTCAACGAAAGGCACATGAAAGCAATGTCTTGCTTTTTAAAAATCTAAACCATTAAAGATTGGTAAATGTTTATGCAATAAGCGTTTTTACTAATGAAGACTTTTAAAATTAGAGGTATGGGTGGCTGGATTGTATATACAGATACTCCCAACCTTACAAACATTCATTTTGCAAACTTTTCCAGATACGAACAAACCTGTCCTCAAAGTGCAATTTGTTCAAAGTCAAAAGGAAATAAACGGAACATAGAAATCGAGTCTACATGATGCATAATGTGATCCCACAATTTGTAACATATGGAGAGCTGGTAACAGTGGAATTGCCCTGAAAACTCTAACTGCCTCCTCCGTATGCATATTCCTCAAAAACCACAATCCAAGTTACCAGTATGTACTGTATAGTAAAGAATTCTTTATTAATTTATAATTTTCAATTTATAATGTACTATTTAAAACCCATTATTTGTTTTAGTTTATTTGATTGCATTTATAGATTTTATCTCACCAACATCATTATGAGATGTGGATAGTTAACAGCGAACCAAGTAACATTTTATGAACAAATTAAGGGTATGATTAGTCATTTCGAACTTATTTTGTTCGTAAGGTGGGAAGCATCTGTACATCCACCTAGTCGTGGATGCAGTTTATTTGAAGAAGCTCTTCTGTGAGCGTTTGACTCCCATAAAAATTTGCTTTTATCATCTTTACAACAAAGAATAAATTAAAGCATATAAAGCTAGTACCATTTGTAGTAAAATATTGTAGAAATAAAGTAATAAGGGGTTGTCATATTTTTTAAATTCCACTACGACTCATTACATATGGAAATTTAAAATAATAAGAGTACCAGTACAAAACTTTTTCCAAGGAATGTCCATGATTCTTCAGCCCCTATGTGCCCTAATGGGAACTAAGTCATATGTCAATTGCCAAATGGTTTGAATGTATCTTAGCGAGAAGTAAAAAAACAGTGTATGAGCCAAAGTGAGGATAATTTTTTTAAATTATCACGATGACAAGTTATTTTGGGGCTGTCTAAATAAGATGTATCGTAATAGTTATAACAGCGGTATGTTAATGAGCCATACAGCTACTAAGCTACCAAGTTTTGACACTTTTCTGTTTACATCCATCATATTGAAGCATAAAAAGATTGCAATACTTTACTTAAACTGTTGCAGACTGAAATATTTTTATAAAACCAAAATTTAATTACTTTTCATTTTTTAAACTATACAAAAATGTCCATCATATGAAAGTATCTTATAAAAACAAACATTATGACAAAATGATTTGGAATGTATTGTGATCTTTAAAAATGTGATAAGTGTTTAACAAATAAATGCTTTTTTTACAAATTAATATACAAGATCTTGAATAAATGATAAATGTGAATGTAACATTTTATACCCTGTTATAGATTAACAAAATATAGATACATAATTTCAGTCTTAAAAGCTTTCATTAAATAATAATTTTCCTCTATCTGCTTCTCATTAAATACAGATTTGAATAACTCAGGATCTGAAATATTGACACCTGTTACTAATGCCTGCACAAATGAAGAACAACAATGAAATACCTGAATCTGTCATATAGTGACACAGATGGTAAAAATTACACTTTTAATATTTCAAAAATAATTTATTAAAAATAAAGGTTTGAGCAGCTCTGAAAATGCACAGACTATAAACATTCAGACAGTTATAAAAAATATATAAGGGCAATATATTAACAAAATTGTAAAACATTATGCTTTAACCAGTATACTAGTTATACGGTGAATACAATAACGGTGAATACAATAAATACAAAAGAAATGCTGATATGAATTAAATGACTAGCATTAAAAAATCAGCATATCAACATTATCTGATGAATAGTTAAGTTAATTTTACATAACATAGCAGTTAAGTAAATGTTCTGCATATTTTTACCCTGGTTGCATTTTTTCTATTTCATATTGCATCATAGTTGTTGTTTTTTTTTAATAATTAAAAACTAGTTTGAAAAAATCCAATAAAGAATACTGTAATACAGGGGTGGGCAAACTTTTTGGCGTATGGCCACTTTGACAAATGTAAAGCTATTGGGGGGCCGCTTATATATTATGTCCACTTTGGTAACAACAACCTATCATAATAAGACATTAGGACTCATTTATTGATTATTAAAATTATAAATAACCAATTATTGCGATTTTTTTTACTTATACACTTAAATTTTTATTTTACAATGTGGACACAAACTTTTACTAATTTGTCTACAAGATTTTACAAATTTTTATTATAATGAAAAATTGTTATCTATCAATGGCTTTTATTTAGATACAAACCGATTATAGTCACTACTAATGTTGATTTCTAATGTAAAGGACAGTTTACAAAGAAAATTAGAAAGAAATTTCATTAAAAAATTTTCAAATAATCATAACGGTAAATGACATTCTGTAAAATTCAACAAAATAACTTTAAAAAGAAACAAAATTTTTCTTTTTAAATGCCCTCGAGGGCGGCATAATATCAGTTGTCAGGCCACAGTTTGCCCACCCCTACTGTCCAAAAAAATAACTAAACTCTCATGTACAGCAATAATAATACAAGGAAAATACATGCACATGACTGTAAAAATTGTACTTGTAGATCACCAAGAAACATTCTAAGACAAATCAATCAATCTGGGCACAGAGTGCCAAAAAATTTTAACACGTACAAGTTAATATAAGAATGATAAGTATTTTATTTGTTCACTAATATTCATTTAAGGCATTGGTTTTAATGGGCCTTGAATAACAAATGTCTTTCAAAACTAGGGCTTGAATAAATTATCAAAATAAATTTATTTCTTATTAATGAATAGGAAATGGGTTTCTGATACAATCTTTGATTACAATTTTAACTCTTTAAATAAAAAAAGATCAACATATAATTATATACAAATTTGAAATGGTGACACCAGTGGCTTGGATTAATCTACAATAAGCTCAAAATGGACCTGACCAACTTGCTCCACTCGATCATGAATAATGTTTCTGGCAAAAGCTCGACAAGTCATCATAAGAAGAATCCCAGGATGGGGGTTTTCAAAACGCAAAAACATAAGTGGAGATCTGTATCCTTGCTGGTTGCGGAAAGGGAAATACTTAAAGTGAAATCCTTGCTGAGGGAAGTAGGAAAGATCTCCCATGTTTTCTCTTGTGGCATCATCCTAAAAAAAAAACATTGTGCAGTCATGTAGGCTAACATTTTGGAATCAAAACATTTTTTAAATTTAATTTATTGTTAAAAAATGATTGGCTATTAGCTTATGATTGACCTTTAAAAAATAAAGGAGTAACCTTTAAGCAATACAAGTATGTGCTTAGGGCACCAGGAAAAAGGGGCACCACAAAATATCCAGAAAAATATCAAGACTTTTCAACCCATGAGCTGTCATGAGGGCAGATGATCGATTGCTGCTTCTATGGCTAAATTGATAGGCCACAATTATGGATATTAATATTATAATGCGATTCACAAGTTTTACGTTTGTTAAAGGGGGAAGCTTTCGAAAACTAGTTTTATTTCTCCCATATCATGAACTCTCTTCTTTGATACCTTGACTGCAAATGTTGATTGAAGAGTAGAAAGAAGTGCAGCAAATGTAATGTAGTGAACAAGGTAATAATAGTGAAATGATTCGTTCTGCAATATATGAAGTAAATTTAGTGAAAGATCCAGGGTTGTGGCTTGAGTTGTCTGTCAATGATGTAGTTTATTGATTGCTCATGGTCTGAAAGACTTAACAACACTGCAGGCCATTTGACAAGTCTTACAGTCATTTCAGTTTATGTAGTAGCAAGCCTAGAATATACTGCTCAGAGAAATGCTTCATCGGAACATGGTGAGGATTTCAAGATAGAGTGTTTATTTTATTGCCCATCAACAGGATGTCCAAAAAGTTTATAGACCAAAAAAGGATGAATAAACAGTAAATTAGGCAATTATCAGGATGGAGATTACAAACCAACCAGGAATTTAATAGACTACATCAGGATCCCAGGCTAGTAGCAGAAATAAAGAAAAGGCAGGCTATGCTGGGTGGGACACTAAGAAAGAATGCCAAATAACAGAGGAGTGAAGAGGGTGCACCATCAAAACGCCAGAGGAAAACAGCTCAAAGGCAGACCTAGGCTTAGATGGATGGATGATGAGGAAAAAGATCTTCAGCAGTTGGGAATCCAAGCATGGAAAAGAAAATCATCAGATAGGTCTGAGTGGAAGGGAGTGGTGAGGCAGGCCAAAGCCCTAAATGGGCTGCAGTGCCCCAAGGATGGATAGATCAACAGGATCAATTTATTGTTTTGTATATAAACTGTTATGGAGTATCTCATAATAAAAATCTTCATATTTTGTCATGAGAGAAGTAACTGATAGAATACTATCACTATCGCGAATGTATGCTAAATTAACACACAGATGAGGAATGGGGTTGATAGTAAGGTTGCAATTCCTTAAAGTTGTATTGGAAAATTGAATGTTTTAAATGGGAACCACATATTGAAATCATTATGGGGACAATTTCAAGTTCCTCCAGCCAAGGGTATTAATCAATCCATGTGTATATACATATTATATTTATATATTATGTATTTATTACATATACACCCATCTTGTAATAAAGCATGCATTCAGTTGGAAAAATTACTATTTCTACATTCTAAATATTCAATAATTACTTACATCACCATCACAACGCACATGTATCCACCAAGGATCATTTTCATCCCAATTATCTTTGATCAACGCCGGTACTGTTTCTGGTGTATACTCTTCCGGCACCCAATCAAATATCTGTTAAAGTTTAAAGCCATCTTGGTGTAAATAATATTATAGTTAATAGCTTTCCCACAAAAGAAATTGGATTATGAACTATGGATGCCGACAAACAATAATAATGATAAATCATAAGCATATCCCTTTGGATGATCAAGTACAAGAATCTTGGAGGTTTTTTTCCTCAGAGAACATGAAAATATAATTTACTGTTATAACACATCATGTGCAAACAAAGAATAAAAGTCTATTCTTTTTTTTTAAATTCTGAAATCATTGAATATTAACAGCATGAAGTGGGAGATATAAATAACAGTATAATTTAAATAGTATTATAAACTTTCTAGAATCTTCTCATTATATTTATTTTAGGTAGACATAAATAATAATAATAATAAAGTTCATTTCAAAAACACGCTTCATCCCCAAAGACATGGTAGTAATGTAGATTATCAGACATGCTGTTGTGAGGCAAAGAAAAAATATATTTATTTTTTTTACACGTGTCAGAAAAGTAATCGATTGCTAATTAAACTGACAATGCTAATCTGTTAAAGAGCCAAACCTTATTCAATTTGAGCAGGATACATGGCTGACCATCATCAAATCCATAGTTCTGCTGCTTCACACAATCGCCTCCAAGAACAATAGGATCAAAAACACAAACTTTGTCCAGTTCATCAGTACGACGTTTTCTGATCTCATTGCAGTCTTTGTATCGATCTCCTACCTGAAGTTCATTTTCATAATCTAAAAGTGAAATCAAATCAATTTAGGTAAGTCAGCAAATTAGGCAATTATATATCAGTTATGATTGATAATACTCAATTATGACAACCTTTATTATTAATGAAACTTTGATCACAAATTGTGTATCATTACATTACATGAATAAATTATTAGATATGTTGGCAAAATATTCTAAATACTTTCTAAAAAAAATTTTTTTTTTTAAATATTGTATGCCAACAAGTCTGTATCAATGATGAGGATTTTTGGGAAAAGACGGCTGAAATGTTGTATTTTTTCCAACGCCAGTTATATCCTGAGCAAATTTTAAAAGCAGCTGTCACTTGAGTTGAAGGTATGACTAGACAGGATTCTTTTAAAGCTCTCATTCTGACGCTAGGGAGAGGTCTAAATTTATTTTAACTTTTCATCCCCATAACCTTAAAGCTTGTTTTCTGGTTCTGAAAAGCCGCTCAATTCTTATGGCAGACCCTGTCACCAATGAGATTTTCAGAAAACCTCCTCTTTTCACTTTCCGGAGGGACAAGAGCCTTAGGGACATGCTAGTTAGAAGCCACCTTCCTCCTATTAAAGGACATAAAGGCACCAAAATTTGCAACCGTAGCCATTGTAACACATGTCCCTATGTGATTGAAGTTGACAAGATCCCTTTCCCTCTGGAAATAATCAGAGTAAAAGATGGCTTTACTTGTACAAGTCGCACGTGATTAACACCATCCTTTGTAAAAAGTGCGGTAAACTATATGTAGGAGAGACAGGTCGTCGCCATGGAGACCGGTTTCGAGAACACCTAAATAAACAAGCTCTTTGTCCAGTCTCCAAACATGTCAATTTCACTAACCATGATGCAATTTTAGACATTGCAGTTACTCGTATACTGTATACTAGTAACACACCAGATAGGATTTATATGGAGAATAAATTAATAACAAGATTTGGTTTTTTGACTCCATACAGTATAAACCAAATCCATAATTTTACATAGCTGCTGTGTCTTTTTCCTGTTCGGTTTTTTACATTTTACTTCAAATCACTTCCTTTCCATTCGTCCTTACTTTGTTTCTGCCTGGGTTTTGCACCCACTCCTATTTTTTTCCATTTTTTTCTATAGGATTCACATTTATATATATATATATATATATATATATATATATATATAAATGTAAATTTAATATATACTTATTTAAACGTTTTGTTTTTATACTGATGAAGGCATGTGCCGAAACGTTTTGTTTCTGTCTGTGTTTTGCACACACTCTTATTTTTTTTTTTTTTTTTCTATATGATACACATATATATATATATATATATATATATATATATATATATATATATATAAATGTAAATTTAATATATACTTATTTAAACGTTTTGTTTTTATACTGATGAAGGCATGTGCCGAAACGTTTACTTGTGTATTATGTAAAATTATTATTAAAGCTTAACATATATTGTTAAATTGACACAAATTGTTTGTGGCTAATTAATCTATTTTAAAGCTTTATTGCTGTCCAACACTCTTATAAATAGTTAAATTCAATATGCATAGCTTGAAGAGTTTCTTCAATTTTGTTTAGAATGGGATTTCTAATGTTTCTAATGTCTGGGATAAGCACAGAAATGATTTAATAATAGAAATTATGTAACACTAAAATAATAGCAGGTGACTTTTAGAATTTCTCGAAATGGTTAAAGTTCAACCAAAAAAAAAACTTACACATAATATAAGCTTCAATGTGATCAAGAAGGTGGGTATAGGTAGTGATGTCCCCTTTCAAAAATCGTATGAGCGTTGATCCTATATGAGGCTGAGGCCGGAAGGACATGCCAGGCGTCTGTCCACAATAACAATATAGTGTCAAGATTTTCCTAAACACTTATTATTAAGTAAATAATCAAACAATATTCTAGGTACTAGTTCTTTACTTTTGAAACTTCAGTGGCTTGTATTATAATTTAGAGAGAAGTGATTATTTCAATAAATGTCCAAATAGTTAACCTATATAACAAAAAATAAATATAGATATTGTCCTTATGTTACAAGTAGCAGCTTATTCACATGAAATGAAACGAAACATGAAATTATTTTATTCACCTAATGTTTATGTATATATTTATATATTAAAAAATCATGCACATAATTTTACAATTATTTACAAATTCTAAATAAGAGCTTGTGGGAGATGGGCACCAATCACTGCATCGTTACTTGCTAGTGCAATGTGAAGTATACAAGATGCTTTATCTTTTCTGACTTAATGAGAAAGTCTGTGCTACTAAGACAGCAGTAACTTACCAAAAATTGTATGAAGTGGTTTTTCTTTGCATGTTTACTAAGCACATATAGTATGGTCTACTTAAGCTTTAAAAAAAGACTTACTGACAAGTTGTTAAGGGTAATGAATGGGAAAATATTGGAATGCACAGCAGTTATGGCGTCTAATCAAATCCATAATATGAAATGTGTAGCTTAAACAAAATGCTTGAAATGTTGAAAAGCGCTAAAGACACAAAAAGTTCTACAAATTTGAGTTAAATAGTTAAAACTGAAAGAAATTCTTCAAAATGAACAATATAGGTGTTATGTTACAAGTTTTATAGCTATATTTTGATCAAAAGAATATTATCAATATAACAACAGTGGCAAAACATATTAAAAACTGAAAGGTAAGCAAGCTCTAAAAAAAAGCATAAAATATATTAAAATTAAACAAATTTACACAAAAATACTGACATTGAAGATCTTAAAGTTTAAATTGTTAAGTTCAGAAATCAAAAAAACAATACACACTAATTAGCACATTCTAGCTGACAAGTAGATTGATAAGGTAGAATTCATAGAGAGCTTATAGGATTCAAACTACTAAGATATGTAAATGGGGCTTAGGACATGTACACTATGACAATTTGTTTCAATTACACAACTACATACAACTTTACATCTTTTGAGTTACATGATAACAATAAATGATGACCCATTTCATTTCGTATGGGCGTGAAATATAATAATTATATATTATATAATATTATTAGTGGACTAATTGGAAATATTGATAACTACAAACACACAAATGCATAATTGCAAGTTGTTATACTAGTTATATTTGATGAAAGATCAAATGAAATGAATGTGAATTTAATGTTAATAGAATAGTTAATAGAAAAAATTTAAACTAAAAAAATATGAATTTTAAGTATGGTATATTTTAAAAGGTTTTACAATGAATATTTTGAACGATCAGAAAGATATTATGACCTAAAATATGAATTTTGCTTCAATTTTAAATAGGTAGAATAGACTTAAGTTGAGTGCCTTAAAAGTTATTATTTACAAACTTAATAGTCATTTCTTTTTTAATTTTGATCATATGGAGTTGTGAAATAAATTTCATTGACTTGTTCGGAGAGCACATTCTTCAAATCTTTTAAACCAGAACTTTGACTTTGATACCAAAATAGGTTATTCGTTGTAAATGAAAAAAAAACTGTTCCACTCTTTGTATTTTTCAAGATAAACATAAAGGGCTGAATCAACATGATGTTTTTACTAAAAAATTAATCTTGGAGCCAGAAAATTGAGATTGGACACAATACAAAGAGATAAATCTCAGAGTGTTTAATCAAATTAATGTTAGTAATTTTAACCTATGTACTGGTGATGAAAATAATTATAGAGAGAAAAAAAACAAAGATGCTACAAACTACACATAGCAGACTTTAAAATGCAGAGACACTCATTTAAATAAAGTAGAAAACTTACTCTGTACTGACATAAAGAATCAGTGATGTGCGAGAAAGAATCATCCTTTCACTGTAAATGGTTGATGCTACAAACAATGACCAAAAACATGAACATAACAATGGCACAAATTTTTATGGGAAATTAACTGAACTGAGACCTCTGTATTACTTTTAAATATGTTCTATTAGAAATTACATTGATTTCCACATAAAGACTAGTTGATAAGAAAGTCTTCATTATTTAAGAGATTGGGATGATTTCATTACCAGGACTAAATGCAGGTGACTTTATTTGTTGTGGAGTGATTCAACCGGAAAACAGATTTAATGAGATTTTTAACAACATATATTATAATATATAATATATCTTTTACCCATAGAATTTTATTTTCAATTTTAAAAAAAAAATTTAATCAGAATAGACTATGAGCATGCTCAACAGAATAGATAGTAAAAACAATACTTTGTGAGGTATTGTTGTAGATGGTGGCTTTAGCAATATTAACTTTCTCTCCATTTTGAAATAATGTATAGCATGTTTTTGTGTCCTGTGGTGACTGATAGTGATCCAGCTGCAATTGATAAAAAATGTATTATTTTTTTATCCAGTGATGCCTGAAGGTGAACCTGCTAGCACTGCTGCAAATGAAGAAAATTTTATTAATTTAAAATTACAATTTTACAAAAGTATTACAGTAAATGATGTTAGTCACTGGCCTACCTGTAAAATGCTGCTACCTCCCTGAAGAGTTGGATAATTCCAGTCTATAACCCAGTAGAAAATTCCACAAAATACAGCTGAGAATCCAAGCAATGCCAACAGGAACACAATGATGCAGATAATGTAAATGACTGGGAATATGAAGTAAATATTCCACATTAAAAATTATTTAAATTTTTAAAATATCAATAATCAACCATGAAAGTAATATAGTATTAGTATAATTTCTATAATGCAATCATCTAGTCTCTTCTTTTTTTTTAATACTTAGTGGAAATGAGAGCGAAACAAAGTGTGTGAAAACCTGAATAAGAGAACCCAACAAAACAATTAACGTAATTTATTAATGGCCATTATTGGCAAGAGGCCTTCATGAGTGAACAAACAAATGAAAAAACAAAACTAAAAAAACACACAGGCTTAGTAGCTGTAGCAGTTATAGAATCTGAGAGGACAGCAATATCTCTCCCCCTTATTATAGTTTGGTAAGCCATAAAATTAATAACTTTTAATAAGCCTTACAATTTATATAATATTATTATATGTTGAGGCTAAGAAGAGACCATCCATAAATGATGTGCTGTCCCTTTTTAACACCCCCTTCCCCCCCCCCTCCCGCTTAGCGTTAGATTAGTTAGAGTCTAATCCAAGTGCGTACCGGCCATTACAGTGAACTGAACTGTGAATAATGGGCAATCATGATGAATGAGCGATTCATTCAGACTCAGTAGAAACCAGTAGACATGACAACTAGTACGCCCATCTCACTAACTCAGACTCCGTCAATCGGAACGTACACTTAAATAAAGTTTCAAATTAAGTTAATAAGTGTAAAAGTAAGATTAAGTAGTAAGTCGTTGATCCACTTTTATTTAAGTAAGTTATCTGAATAGTTTACCCCAATCAACGGGCGTCCTTCCCATTACAGTACCATCCTCAGGGTTGTACAGCCAATATCTCGTCTGAGTCAGGCGGTCCCCAAAAGTTTCTCTCTGAATTCCAGTACTAGCGATTGTACTTTGATACAGCGCTGAACTGGCAGCAGAATACGCAGAGACGTGCGACGCCATTTTTAAGAATAATAATGTTTGTTTTCTTCCGCATTCAACCTTGGCTCCACCTGGAGGCAGGTATCTAAAGGCTAAAGGTGTGCAAAATCGGAGAGCAAGTTGTGTGTCGCAAAAAAAGTTGTGGTGTCGCAAAAGTAAATACCAGGGTTTTTCTAACGCACACGTATTATGAACATCGACTATGATGAATGCATGGAGGGTTTGATTTTTTTTTTTATTCACTCAAAAATATTAAATTGCCGACAGTGTTGCCAATAATTGTAATGAATGAGATGAAACTATTTTATAATTTGGTCTGTCTGTAGCCCCCCCCCCCAACCCCTTCCCAATTTTGTGAGCCCACACGCAAAAGTAAATTTAAATTTCAAATAACATTATTTTTTTTAACTTAAAGTTACCAGTTTTATTAAAATCACCCCATGCCCATGCATTTAAAATAGTCTGTTTATTTTTTTTATTTTTTTATTTTTTTATTTTTTTTTTTTGTAAACTAAGCAATCACGTCACATTTGTAATTTTACGAAACATTAAAATGTAAAAGATTAAAATGTAACTAAAAAAAATTCAGTGTAGGCGTGACTCCCAAGTGACCTATTAAGGGTATTTAATAGTCTACCTTTTTAATTGACTTTCACAAAACTGGTCGGATACGGGACTCCGCCCTGGCCACGGGACCACGATAATATATATCAGATTTCAAGATTTCACTTTTTGTCTTTAAATTAGCATCCATTTTTCATTATCATAATTACTTTAAACGTAGTCTAACCCAATGTTCCCTTTAACCTGCGCGGCCGCGCAGCTGTCTCACAGACGCCGCGCAGCAGTTTTGAGTATCCGCGCAGCAAATTTCCATTTAAGTGTGTGTTTGTGGGCTGTAAAATTTTGCACACAAAAAAAAATTGATGCTGTAAAACTTTGCACACAACTGTATGATTTTGCACATGAACCAGCAAACCCTTAGAGCAGTGGTTCTCAACCTTCATAATGCCGCGACCCTGTAATACAGTTCCTCATGTTGTGGCGACCCCCAGCCACAAAATTATTTTCGTTGCTGCTTCGTAACTGTATAGCATATATGTTTCGGATGGCCTTAGGCGACCCCTGGGAAAGGCTCGTGCGACCCCCAAAGGGGTCGCGACCCATAGGTTGAGAACCGCTGCCTTAGAGGGACATTGGTCTAACCTACATTTTTTTTTATTATAGAGAAAGAATAAGGAGGAATTCTAATTAGAGAAAGAATAAGGAGGAATTCTAATCAGATTCATCATCCTGATATCGCTACTCAATTAGTAAATAGGGTTAATCAGAGATATGAGAATCAAATGAACGTATTGTAAGGTGGTGGGGCAATAATATTAATATATTTTCCAGTCTATTTTACTTTGTAAGAAACATCAAAACAACTTCATTTGTGGACATCATTTTCCATAAAAACTCAAAGGGATCGTGCAAATATTATATAACATGGAGGAGGAAGGGATGGTTTATTAACATATTTGTAATATTTTATTGTATGAAAAGGGGATGGGGGTAGAGAGCAATGTTATATAACAAATCTTTATTTATTTATTTTTTTAAATTCTTATTTTTTTCTAAATTTCTGCTTTACAAATTTACGAAATTAGCCTTGTTTATGTTTAAAAAAACAACTAAAATGTATCTTTTTTGCTTACAATAATTAGAACATTTTTGTAGAAAGATCATTTTAGGATATTTTCTTGTTTCGACTTGTTTTCGGTACTTTATTCTGTTACATGGTTTTATTGGAGGGGGGGGTTGCTAGAAAGTTTAAATAATAATTATATAAAGGGTGGTGGTCAATGGAAATTATCTATATATCGTTATAGCCTAAGCCTAAGCCTAAGTAGTAGGCGTAGGTTGTGGGTCAAAAATGTCATGAGTCATATGTTTGTATTATATTGTATGTGCACGGCCCTGAATGGTTTGAATAACAGATAAATTATTCATTTTATGAAGGTCCAATGCTTTTTAAGATTCTCTTTATTGTTTCTCCATTATTCCTATGCCAATAGGACAACGCCAAACGTGGTTTGTCGGAATTATAGCATAACTGCTCGAAACAAAACTGAACCGTTCCGATAGAAAGCTATCCGATCTCACCTGTGACAGGTCAACCCCAGGTGGAGCCAAGATCGAACGCGGAAGAGTTGAGACACAGGGTGTGAAAACATCCAAAATGGCTTCACAAGTTTCAGCTTATTCGGCTGCTAGTTCAGCCTTGTACCAGAGTACAATTGCGAGTACTGGCATTCAGAGAGAAACTTTTCAAGATCGTATGACACAGACAAAAAACTGGCTGTACAACCCCGAAGATGGAACTGTGATGGGAAGAACGCCTTTTGATTGGTGTAGGTCTTCAGTCTTCGGCTAAGTTCTTTAGTAGTGTTTCTGTATTTCAAAATAAACAATAGAACGGTTACGACCAATTTACTAACACAATTATTTTAAATATATTTTTGGCCATTATTATAATCATGTAATCGATGTAGATAGATTGAAGTGTCCCCACAATTTTACATACTGTGCTTACTTAACTCTCTCATCTGTGTAGCAGTCACTGACAGTAAATTCAGTAGGCTAAACAATTTTGGGCTAATGCAGAGAATTGGTGCCATTAGGAATACATTTAGTGTTCAAGTTCAAGTTAGGTTTAGGGATACCTCTGGGGTTCAGTCGGTTCATGTTAGGTTTAGTGAAACTTTAGTGACAGTGAATTATAAAAGTTCACTGGTCGTGGTAACCAAGAAGGCGGCCCTATGACTGTGATACGTCATGGCACCAATTGTCTGCATTTAACCAATTTTTTTAACAAATACTATAGGCCTACTGACCAAGGCTAAGAGTCTTAGTTGGACTACTACTACTGGCCACTGGTACTGCATTTCATATTAATATTACACAATCAAATCAATGACGATGGACCCTTATTTTTATAAAAGCCCCAACTTACGATCATAAGATAAGGCAGGCAGGGTTCTGGAACTTGGCCTTTGGGATTCACATAGAATAATTGTTCCCTTTGTAATCCCATTTTTACATTTGACTTGATCATACATTTTTGTGGGTTTTTTGGTATTGGGGAATGAGTTCAAACCCATAGAGTTCTATGATCCCTCCTTGAGATCAACTGGGCTAGGTCTAAGCATTGGCCTTACTAATTTAACTGTAACAAGGATGGAATTGTCATGAATTGAGTTAATTTTAATAGTTATACTATATAGGAATAAATCATGTTTGTTAGGAACGATTTGATTTGGCTTTTAATTAAGTGTGAGAACCACAGGTACACAACCTTTTTTGACACGCTAAGCCACTTTATTATATTTTATAGACACTAATTGACTTGCATACCCATATTTTAAAAAAGCCTTTTAAATAGGGTAAAAGAAAACACATCGAACGCAAAGAGTTTTCAATATAACAATTCATTATAATTTTAATTTGTGACATATTTAATGAGATAGTTGAAATTGAGTTATCCTTCATGCTAACCTCATATCAGTCTCAAAATTTAATTTTTTTTTGTTAAATTTGGAATCTGTGAAAATGATCTCTCGAAGATATGAAGAAGCAAATTAGTGATTTGTTACATTAATTTAAATTAGATCCTATTAAAAATTGCCTTAAAATCAATATCATCATCATCAGTGGTGCTACAGCCTTTGAAGGGCCCTGGCCTGCTCCACCACATCCTTCCAATCGGATCGATCCATGGCTTTCTGCCTCCATACGCGAACTCCCAACTGGTGTAAGTCCTTCTATACATCATCGATCCATCTCAGTCTTCTGCCTCTATATCACTATCCAGCGCTGTCTACCTTTTTTTATTTTTTTATTGTTGCAACTTCTTCTTCTTCTATATCTTAAGGGCCCACGATCAATTTATTGATCATTTTGGCTCCTATGCATGTAGATGGGATTTGCAATGTTTCTGTTACTGGTGGTGATGAGGAAATTATGTACTAGGGGTTTGAAGGCTTGAGGCAATAGACACAAATGTGTCTAGTGTTGTCGCCTCAACTGTTCCTTTTGAAAGATGGTTCGTCAGGGACTAACAGAACCCGTCCTTACTCGTCGAGGATATGACCGATCTTGCTGGTATGAGCCTGAATTGCCTGTCATGGCCTCGTCGCTGTCTATGGGGGAGAGGGACGAGTTTCTGTTTAATACTCGAACAGTGGACCAGCCCATTATTTATCTTGTACATCATGGAGAGCCTGGATTGTCGTCGTCGTTTCTCCAATGGTGACCAGCCTAGTGTTTCTAGCATGCTGCCAACACTAGAGGTATTCCTGTAGCGGTTTAGGGTGGGTCTTTGTACAATTGATACAGGTCTTGGTTTGTACGGATTCTCCAAACATCATTGTCTATCACTGGGCCATATTTTTTCTTGAGGTATTTTTCTCTCCCATGTATTGAGCAGGTTCTCTGCTTTTCTGGTAAAGGACCAAGTCTGACTAGTGTAAGTTACTAATAGTCTTATGATAGTGGTGTATATTGTCTTCTTTGTTCCCCTTGAGAGGTTTTTGCTTCCCAGTAGCTTTTGAAGGCTGAAATAGGAACGGTTGCCTGCTGTTATCCTTTCTTTCATCTCTAACATTATTTCATTGTGCTCATTTATAGATATTTGAAAGTAGTCACTCTCTCAAAGGTGTGGTTGTTTATATTGATGTTGTCATCAGCGTGGGTTTTTTTTTGGTGATATTATACATTTTGTCTTCTCTTCATTTACATCAAGGCTAGCTTTTTTGACAGAGGCATCTTCAAGTTCCCTCAGTGCTTTAATTATATCATTTCTGTTTCTGCCCAGTAGAGCTAAATCGTTCGCATATACCAGGTACTGCAATTGATGTCTATATAAAGTGCCTGATGGTTGTTGTTCTGTACTTCCTCTCTGGGAGTAGTTTTTAATGGTTAGGTTTTTTCATATGAGGTTTAGCTTTCGTAACATTTGATTTCTTGCGTGACATCGTCATCAGCCCTGCGCACAACCATCTGGGGGGGGGATGCCCCTTGCTCTCAGTGTAGCTGCCTTTGTATTGGGTCGTGTCCCTAGACTCCCTCCACTTCCTACAAGGCAGTGGGTTTGGATTTAGGTCCTTAAATTTAGTTTCCCCGGTACCCTGCCATATCTGGTGGGCTTTCCGCCCACCGTCATTTTCAAATGAGGCAGCAGGGAAAATGAACTCTCGAAAATATGTAGAGGCAAATGAGTGATTTATTATATTAATATAGATACTTATTAAAAAGTGCCTTAACGTCGATATACTTTTAGTTTATTGTTTTAGCCGGCAACTCAACATAAAAACCTTCCCAACCCCATTTAGGGTCGTGACCCGTGGGTCTGAATCGAATTTGCTGTAGGAAAGTAATGTCACTACCTACAAGACAAAGTGAACTTAACTTCATTTTATCCTCAGATATGAACTAAGACCTGTAAACAGACCCCCTTCCTCTTGTAGTCACAGCTGAGGTTTTTACATACTGGGCACCACAGTTATAGACATATGTGTTATATTAAGTAACAATATGATAATAACATGTGGCCTGCAAATAAGTAGATATGGGAAGTGTCAAAATGTGCAGTAGCAAATTTATTCTTGGGAAACCCAAGTTTTACCTAGGACTCCTTACAATCTTTCAATTTTTATGTTGTTGTTTTTTTCTTTCCAACATTGGGATAAAATTTAACTCGCGTTGTGGTCCATACATCACTTAAATTTTTCAAATTTTGTTAACACCCCCCCCCCCCATCATCACAAAAGGTTAGAACCTATCCTCAAATATATCACAAACCTATTTCCCCCATTACCCCCCCCCCAATATATTAAAAATTGTTTTAGTTCACCTGTATCGAATTACTGCATCTGTTTCAGAAACACATACACATAACAGAGGTTTCCCTACCTGCAGAGGTGTCACAAGGTTAAAACGTATCGCAAATATTTGACATATGGCACCTATGCAAAAACATGGATGCAGCCAGGATGTCCTGACTCGAAAAAGTTTGAAAACCTCTGCCTTAGAAGAACATTGCTAAGATCTGCTTAAAACCAGAAAACAGACATTTTTATTGAATGTATTAAAGCTGGGGGGGGCAGCTCTCCTGGAGTCTGTACAGTACATCGTACATCTGCCTACACAAATTACAATAAACACATGAAAAGGTCAAACTTAATTACTTTTTCATCACTGTGCTATTTTAGTATCATACTCATTACAAATATTCAATTTCTCAAAGTATTTACTACAATGCTCACTTTAATAAATCGACACATGATCATGTCTATAAGTCCACACAAAAAATATGTAACAAATTCACATTGGTGATCCCAGGATCATCTAAGGTAACAAATTTTAGAAGCTCCATGCCCCTAATAGCATAGGCCTTGGCTTATTTAGATAAATAATGTTAACTGTATGTTTTAATTAACATCACCATCATCATGTCCCTTAGTCTTTGGACCGTTGGTACGCCACAGATGACATAAAAAAACTATTCTTTTCCATTCCTCTGTTTTCTGCACTTCGCACAGCATTTACATGTGAATACCTTATGCCTGACTTCTCTTGAAATTTGATCTCTTCAACAGTTTTATACATCATCTGCATAATTGTGTTCTTAAGTGCACTCATTGGAATGTCTGCTGCTTTTTGTGGGATTTTCTACTGGGTGATTGACTGGAACAGCCCAACACTTCAAGGAGCCAGCAGTATTTTACAAGTAATCTTGTTATTTTGTTTCTGTTGCTCCATAAAGACTAATGCATTTTGTAGAAGTTGAAAATGCACTTAGTGAAATTCTTCATTGAATTACAATTTCAAATTATTTTTTTAAAATCCATAATGCTATTGCATTAATTTTCTTTTTTTTTTTTTTTTTGCTACCTTAGGCTTGACATTAGTTATCCCTAACTTTTCAAAATCGGGGAGTATATGACATGAAGTATTTGTATTTGAATGATTGTTTACTCAACACAAAACCTGTTAATTTTTCTAAAAGTCATTTTCATGTAAATCGAATTAAGAAATAAGAATTCAGTCTCTAACAAATTAAATACCTTTTTTTATATTAAAAAATGTGACTTATTTTTGTCCTTATTTGCAGACACCAGGAATGTCCTTCAGACCCCAGCCAGAAGTGAGGTCAACTTTGATCAGGTTCTTGAAAGGTGACACAACTACCTACACTCACATCATTGATCACATCGAATCTTATATACTGTGTAAGAATTCTTTTTCTCTCTAAAATTATTTATTGCCAACATACTTAACTAATGCATGTTCCCCCAGACTGGGGCATAAGCCGCCTACAAGTGATCTCCATTCATCCGAGTCCTGTACTTAGCAGTAGGTTTCACGTGCATCCCGTCCTTTGTGTGGTTACCTCTAACTTGCGTCTTGGTGAATATTTTGACCTTCCGCACTTTCTTTTTCCATTTCGTTCCATTATAGCAGGAGTCCTCAAACTACAGCCCGCAGTTCAGATCTTAACCTGTTCAGCCATGTACCCTGTTATCAGTGACAAATATGGAGGTGGACATTGATCATCTCATTAGTTAAAAGCGTGTCAATACTTCTCATTAAAATTTATACTCATACTAAGTTTGTTGATTAAAACATATTCTTGGGTTCAAATAGTGTCTTTGTTTTTTGTATTGCACTACAAATAAGATATTTGAGGTGTGATTAGGAATTCATTCATATTTTTGTAAACTATAGTCCAGCCCCAGTGAAGCGGCAGTGTTTTAAAGAAAGTTAGAGGGCACTGCATTAATGGGCTTGTCTGGTGATTTTTCCGGGGGCCTTCGATCTTTTTGTTGTTTTTTTATCCAGCAAAAGACTCTTGGCATATACTCAGCATTAGTTACCTGTTGGTTGAGTTTGGCCATTTTTTATGTTTAGGATCTGTGTTTAATCCTGTTTGTGCCTGTGGATACTTTCATTATCCGTTCAAAGGGGTGAATACGAAAAAGGGTGCAAGAGATATCCTGTTTTCACTTCAAGCTCATCTGTGAGTTTGCTCCCATGTACCACTCCATGTTATTCTCTCCTAGGAGTTCTGTATGATCCTCACTGACTAACACATAGCTGTCAAGTATGAGTATTAACTATGCATTCAACAAACAGGGTAGCTACCAGTGTGATATTTTTTTTTTTTTAATCCTGGATTAACTTCCCATGTGTCACTTTATTCTGACTATATAGACGTGATATTAAATAAAAAGATTATTTGGTTTAAACCATGTAAATAAGATTTGAATGAAGGGTTGAATATTGGACAAGATTGTTAAATTCTAAAATAGGGCAGTCTTCTCATTGTTGCTTAATAAGCCGAACATTTAAATTAACAAAAATTACCACATATAGTGTTGCCCTAATCCACTTATCACACAAAATTGTTTTTCCCCACAGATTATGAAAACGAGCTCCAAGTAGGTGACCGATATAAGGATTGTAACGAGATCAGAACACGTCGCACAGAGGAACTGGATAAAGTTTGTGTGTTTGACCCCATTGTGTTAGGTGATTTCTGTGTCAAGCAACAAAATTATGGATATGACGACGGGCAGCCGTGTGTTTTGCTGAAGTTAAATAAGGTTTGAAAATGGCGTTCAGTTTGTCTAAAAAAATCCCTGCGGTTTTTAGATCAATATTCAAATTCATTTTTAAAAATAATTTATATATAACATATATGTTAAAACCACCTTAACACCAAGACAAGTGCAGGGCTTTGAGAGTCACTTTTTTCAAAATAATTTGTTGGGTCAAAGAAAACAAACTGGAGTTTCTATATGTTCCTGTTAGTTTTAAAAAAAACAACATGTTTAATAGGAAAGAAATAGAATGGACGAATCAAAATAGATAACAAGACACGTCAGTTAAAGTATATTTAAAATAATTGATTCGACTAATCTGTGTCTTTTTATTTTTTCTATGAAAATTTTTTTTTTATTAACTTTATATTAAAATGTTATGTTCTTAAACAGTTTCTTAAACCTTTCTGCTTTAACTGGGTGTAATACACCCAGAGACAGACTTTGATTGCTGATATCTCGAATCTCCTTATAATAATCTTTCTCCTACTCGACCTAATCCACAAAGTAGTTGGAAATGAAATCCTTGCTGGATGCAATAGTATAAAGCATGCGAAAGTGACTTGTTTTTGGGGGCCTAAACTTTTTTCTACAGGGCGTAACACACCTGTGCATAATTGAATAGAGGAAAAAAGCGTCTAAACCAACTTGTGAAATTTTTGTTTGGTTGTTGTTTGTTAATTATGCAAGTCCGTGTAATTCATAAATAGATTTTAAATTTGACAATAAATAAATATTCTGAATGGATTTGGGTACCGGGGTACCAAGAGTAATAACATCTATTCAACTTGACAATCCATTTCAAAGTAGACCATGTGCACATGGAAAATAGGGGCTCTGCAGCTCAGCTTGCACAGTTTTTACATGAAAGAACAGAATGTTATTTGCAAATATGTCTAATCAACTTCCTCAGTTGAAATGGTTTGGGAAGCTGTTTGAAATGTTTGTAAAGATTTCAAAACACTGGTGATGTTCTGCCTCACAATATCTTGGTGCGTCTGGACAAATCGTCTCTACTTGTGGAGGGGTGAGGAAATTTTCAACATCAATATTGACTGTCTGATGTCTTCAAGAGACATTGAGTTAGTCGGATATTTATATTTAAATGCCACTCTTGCTACAATTGATGCCACGTCAACAATGTTGAAAAACACAACCAAAGGCCATCTTTTACTCCTTTTTTTTTTTTGTATTCACAGAGAACACCTTCACCATTTATTTATTTAGGCATTTTTATATAGCGCTTACCATAAAGCTCTAAGCGCTTTACAATTATTAAAAACATGTAAACTAAGTAAAATAAAAATGAGACAGTAGGATAGTAACTACTATACTATAGAAACAATGAAAATGGCTATAAAACGAGGACACTTTGACACGTTTTGGCCTATACTTCAGGATCAACCCGAAACAGAAAATGAGGCAGGGCAAGGAGGATGCATCACAGGTCATAGGCGGACCTAAACAGATGAGTTTTAAGGGACTTTTTGAAAATGGACGAGGTTTCACAATGACGGATATGGAAGGTGAGCTGGTTCCAGAACGTGGGCCCATGGAATGTGCCTCCTTTGATTTCGTTCTTATAGAGCACAGTCTCTGGTTTCTTACATTCAGTTTCACTTTCTACATGTGGACGATTGTATATTGTGTTCAGGAGCAATACATTTTTCTGCTTCGTGCTCTGGTATTTGACAAGGTTATATTTCTAGTCTGAACAAAAAGACTGATTTGTTGAGGGGCAGAGCCTTCTTTTGCTCGAATCCCTAGGGTCGGAACATCTTGTTCCATTTCACTGTCCAACTAGGGTGAGTCTGCTCTTGGCCATTGGTTCTGCAAGTTGTAAGGGAATGAAATAATAGTCTGCTCTGAAATTGGGGTCACTTCCATGTAAGTCCATTGTGAGAGAAATCAGTCCCTGAGGATATTCCAACATTTCTCTTTGCTGGCAGGGCACTTGCATTTTCTTTGTTGAGATAAGGGCAGCCTCTAACAAGATAGTTCGGAGACAATTCACAGGCCCAGAAGATTGCTATTCCATATTTGTCTGGCTTTGCTTGGCATATATTGAATAAATCTGCATCGACATCTGAAACCAAGCATTTGCTCACCTACTGTGAAGTTCTCTCCGGGAACAAAATAACTTGCTAAATTACCCAGGAATGCTTCTCATACATCTCTTATGGGAGCAAAGATGTCATGAGCCAGAAATGATTGGCCTAGTATCCTTTTGGTCAAAGCCAATATGAATCAGAAGTTTGCTGAATCTCTTCATTGAAAATACTGCCCTAAAAAGAGAATTTACATCACCAGGTCTGAATAAAAATTCCACTGAAATGCTGTTGAGGTGAAGAGCCTCAATGTGTAGTAAGCAGCCAATGCAAGCTTTCATTTAGATCGGACCAGTCCCTTGCCATTTGTTTTCTTTTAATTTCTCGCCTTCCCTGTTGGTGCAGTCAGCTATTGTTTGTATCATTTTTCATTAATGTACAGAACAAATGCTTCAGTGGGAGAAATTATGTGATCTGTGAAGGGCGTTTGGTTACAAGGCAACTAAATCATGCCACATTGTAAAAAAAGAAAATAACTTAAAGAGAGCCATTTGCTGTGATATAAGACTATGGGTGTAACCCACCCAGTTGTCAAGAATCGACAGAAACTTTTTCCCATTATAGTAAGGGTGTGCCATTCCCAGTCATGAGGGTCAGGGTATATAATATGTTGTGACGGAAAGTGTTAATTTAAATTAGCTAGTTAATCTGTTAATGCCTTTTCATCATCATCATGTCCCTTAGTCCTTGGACCGTTGGGGCGCCACAGATGACATGTGAACTATCCTCCATTTGTCTCTGTCTTCTGCACTACGCACAGCATCGCCCAGTGTTAGTCCTGTCCACTCTTTGATGTTATTAATGCCTTTTGGAACCTCTTATTACATCTGACATGAGCACTGATATTTTTTTTTTATTCCTAGCCCAAATTCCTGTAGGCTCTGTTTACCTAGAAATGTCTTGAAACCTTTGGTGGCTCCTTAATTAAACTATTCCAAAATAAATTAGGTTATAATATTTCAATTTTTATTAACAGTAATGTCAAGGTGAATTTGAATATTAGAAAAATAATGTAAGTTAAGTGTTATTGACATAAATACTCTTCTAACTGTCTGTTGCTTTAAGAATCTAATATGATTTATACTTTTACAAAATGTCTAGTCACCCGTAGAAGTTACATTTGTTACACAGAGATCAGAATACATTTTGGTCAAAATTTTGACCAATCCTTGAATTATCTATTATGAAATATAAATAATTAAATTTCAAAGGTGCCTAAGTGAAGCAAGGATAATCTTTCCCCCCCCCTGTGTCTCACAGATCCAAATTAAAAACAAGGGCAATGTTGACATGTAATACAATTAATTGAAGGAAATATTTGCAATGGCAGGTTGGCCCAGGCAGCTTTAACTAGTATAGCAGAGCTTGTAATATTAACTTTTTAAAAATTAGACTAACTAGGGCTTAACCGGGTGCAGCTTTTTACACAGGGTCCGGGGACTATTAGAAAAAACCTGGTGGGTCCATGTGTTACAAAAAAAAATGTTTTCTATTAGCAATAGGTCGACAAGACAGTTTTACACCCAATCTGCTGGCCTTTAAACAATAGGCCGACAGACAGTCCTACATATAGTTCATATAGTCCCTCATACAATCCTACAGACAGTCCTAAACCAATCCCCGTTGCTTTTTATTGATTAATATAATAGTCGACTTCGAAAAAATTCAAACTTATTACCTGGTTTCAACCATCACGCACAAATTTCACTGCTTGACAGCTTTTTTTTTTTTTTCATTCAGTACTATTAAAATAAAACATGTTGAGTAGGGGCAGGGCTGATAGTGAAAAGGAAGCAGCCATACCAGAAGCAAAATATATATAAGAGATCTTTTTTTTAAAAAAAATTACTCGTTTTGCTTTCCTTAAGTAATAGTTGCATTTATTAATTTTTCTTCTTAAAACAAATTGAAGAATGAAAATTTCATAAAATAAAACCATTAATGATCAGCATAATAAGTGTTATGAGGCACAACAGTACAAAATAAATTTCTCCCATGCAGATTTTTGCTTGGGTACCTGAAGAATATACACCTGAAAGTGTCCCAGACCTAATCAAAGATGACTGGAAGGAGGAGGATCCTTGGTGGATCCATGTACGATGTGATGGGGATGTGAGTGTCATGTTCAATCTAAGACATTTAATTAATTTTTGGTCATCATATTTTCATATTTATTGTTTATTTTTATTAACTTAAACATTTTTTTTTTTTTAAATCTGCAACAAGAATGCCAAGATGTGGATTTCTTTTCCAACCCACCTCCCCTTTCCTTTTCTGCATTATACAGTGTGAAATGCCTGGAAGTATATTAGCTATTATAAAGAGCAGACAGTCACTAGATACTAGATTTAAATAAGCTTAATATAGATCATTTAATTAAAGTTAACCAGTCCTAGGTATTGGATAAAATCTTTATTTAAAAAAAAACTTGTTTCAATTTGTTAATAAATAGCAACCAAATTTTTACTAAACTCTTGATGGTTTAATATTATATTTATTTTGCAATATCACAAATAGATCAGCCATGGAGGACGTCAATATGTAAACTTTTAAACATACTGTAATAAATTAAGTGGGCCTAAAGCATCATACAATACAGAAAATGCAGTCTGCAAGATCTTTTACTTCCCCTAGCATTTGAACAAACCCCTTAAATGGGTGCCAACAGAAGATTATGTAATGTTAGATAATCCATTTGTTTTTGTTTGTTTTTCAGGATGATACTACCCGAGAGAACATGGGAGACTTGTTGTATTTCCCAGCACAAGGTTTTCATTTCAAGCACTTTCCTTTTCTCAACCAGCAAGGTTACAGGTCACCAATAATGTTTCTTCGCATGGACAATCCCCGTCCTGGTGTTCTCCTCATGTTGACATGTCGAGCTTTTGCCAAAAATATAATCCATGACAGAGTGGAACAAGTCGGTCAAATTCATTTTGAAGTTCTTGTGGATTAATTTTAATTTTTTTTTAATTCTCTTAAGGACGAAAGGCATACTTGACAATAATTTGATAGACAAAACACATTCAGGCTTTTTAATGTAACAAAACACATTTAGGCTTCTTAATGGTAGAATTTACCTTTGTATTTGTATTTATTCCACTAGTAATTCATCCTTGAGTTTTAATAAATTAAATATATTCTCAAGGGTCAGGTATAAATTTCAGGGGCTATAATTATTGTCTTAAGTTATTTTAATAGCTACCTCCCTTGCATCACAAAAAAAAAAATATATAAAGTTTTCAACACTAACACTTGCAGCATTTCTTCAAGAAAGTTTTCTTATAATAGAGATTTAGATAGATGAGCATTGTGTTTTAGAGCATAAATGATATTGTGTTATTGATTGAATACTAATTATATATCTTTAGGGCATACAGCTTGTGAGCAATGTTATTTTGTCATCAAAGGCGGTATCCACAGAATTAATTATGCTTGTATATTTTTGTATTATATTATCTTTTGTGGCAATGCTAACACTTAAATCTTCACCTCTCATAAAATGAGCTGTTTGACATATCATCCCTCATTTATGATCTCAAGGGAAGATTTTACGCGTATACTGGTTAAATCTTCTGTAATATTGGTAACCATGAAGCAAATCCCATTTCCTAATTGAAACATTCTGTATTTAAAATTTATTTATAGAAATGGCATATTGGAGACATTTTATTATTTTTCTACACTTAATTCTTATATTTCTCTGCAGATAGCTCAGTACCGCATTCCTCTATCCCTCCTATGAGTGCCTGATTTCTATGTAAATAATGATTAGTTTGAGCTGTATATTGCTTTCCATGACTTGTAGTCTATTACTTATATTTTACCATCATTGATCTGACATATCAATTCCTTATACAATTGTAAATGACATTCCAAATCATAATTTTTTTAAAAGCAATTCCATGCCTGCTCTTTTGTCTATATTTTTAAGACAGCGTTTTTGCCTCCATCATTCCAAAGTGACATCTACTTTACAGGTCATTGTATTTCCTTTTTAACATGACCTTCGCCCACATAAGATCTGACAGTGTTGACATATTTTTAAGACAAAATTTACTTATTATGATCTCTGCTCATTTAAAAATATCTTTTTAAAGGAAATAGTGAAATGAGCATCACAAAAGTATATTTATAAAAATATTCCAGAATGACATTGAAAACATCTATGTTTTTGGCTAGAGCTATATTTTGTATTTTTAAGCTAGACGTAACCCGCAAAACAATTGCGGCGGCAATTAGTGAAATTCCCTTCTAATAAAGTTACTCGACAGAACGTGCATTCAAGTAACGAGCTTCATAAAAACACACCAATTAATGCTAACTTCTGGGAATATTATTTTCTGTGCCTATCGAACACAGCATTACAGCCATACATAGAGAATGATTATTTGTGATCTTCTTATTTGGAAAAGGCCCTTTCAATTATATAACGGGGCACACTGCCATTTTTTAAAATGGTATTTCTTAGGGAGGAAAAGTAAATTTTTAATATTTAACCACTGAATGTGAACGTTTGACCTCAATAAATTAACTTGAATTGGACATGAACAAACTTCTTTCTTGTACCCTAAGTGTAAATATCATCTCCAGAATCTCCACTGATATCCAGATGCTCGGTTCTGGTCTTATTTTTCCTCACATCTGGACTTTTGATTTCTGTCATGACAAATCCTCAAACTAAAGCCCTATTGCAATGTATAAACAAATGAATAAAATAATTGTTTTTTGAACTTAAGATTCTTGTTTTGTTTTTATTTTTTTGTACTCAAGATTCTTTCCTCTTGAATTTATTAATTTTTATTATTCTGGACCCTGGTCACTTATTATTTCAGTGCTTCCCAAATTTTTCATTGTGACTCGATGGCAGGATTTTAATCACATTGCAGCAGTTACTGGAGCCCATTATATTTAGAAATATAAATATAACATGTGAGAACTAAAGTGTAATCAGGTAGAAGCTACTCAAACTACTGCCTGCGGGGACCTATTTGGTTTCAAAGACTAGGACCTTAAGGACATATGCCAGTCCAGAGATCACCACCCTAGGTATTACTGAACTGTTTGGTTTCAGTGACAAGGACCTTAAGGAGATGTCCCAGTCCACAGACCACCAGTCTAGGTATTACTGAACTGTTTGGTTTCAGTGACAAGGACCTTAAGGAGATGTCCCAGTCCACAGACCACCAGTCTAGGTATTACTGACCTATTTGGGTTCAGTGACGACAAATTTTTTTAAATAGAGGTTAGAGGAAAAAGGGGAAATATTACAAGTTTATATAAAAATTTTCCTGTCATCATTATTGGTACCAGGGAGGCAATTTCTAATATAGAATATTAAAACAGCATCATCAATTGTTGAAAATGTTGATTTATGATAGTTGCATCATTTGTGTTCGACTCGGCTTTATGCCTCCCTCCCTTCTAATCTGTTGAAAATGTTGATTTATGACAGTTGCATCATTTGTGTTCGACTCGGCATTATGCCTCCCTCCCTTCTAATCTGTTCATTTATTCCAGCGAACGCATTTGAGAAATTCTTTTTAATAATTATTAATATCGGTGTTTTAAAAACTTGTTAAAATATCATGATTATTTTTACAGCCTGACACTGTAAGAGAGTATATTTCAAAGGTCCTTAAACGTGCCTTTTCCAAGATCATTTGCAAAACTTTCTGGGGCTACCTAGATGATAATGAACCAAGTATGTCTTCTTCTTGTGTTCATCCATCCACCTGGACTCCTCTAACCCTCATGGTCAAGTTTGTAAGGTTCCTTCGATGATTGCTCAGGGCTTGTCCAAGTGTAAGACTGAGATACAAGGATTACAATTGATTTTGTTATTAAATTGATAATATTGACAACGATTTGCATTTTTAAACTTTGTCTGGTATGCAAAGATGTTTGGGGTTTTTTTTTGGTTTTTAAGGGCCCAGCTTCACTGACGTCATTTTGTCTTTTATAACGGGACATTTTTATTTGGTGACATGAGCATAATAAGGATTCTGCATTATAGGTGGCGTGGGGGTGGCGTATCACCCCAGAGGTTACCTGTCAAGAGGGGTTGGTGGGGGGGGGAGAGAAGTCCAAAATAGAAATATTGTGAACGGGAAGGAAGTCACCTCTTAAGGGACAATAATAATAAATTTGTACTGTGTGTTCTCTCAATGAAGTTTCAAATTTCTCCACTACCAAAAGCAGGGGTCCTTAACTTGTTGTAGTTATTGGAGGGGGGGGGGTTGCAGGTCACTGTCCCCTCAGATGCTGTTAAAGGGCGGAGGACTATAGTTTGAAAACTATCTCAACTACTTCTTAGGCTTAGGCACACTACTCGTATCTCTTGTAGTGCAAACAACAGAATACAGCAATATTTAAAAAAGAACAAAACTTGTTAGTCTTCCAACTGGAAGAATGGGGTCTGCTTTTTGCCAATGCCTTGGTCAATGTCCAGTTCCATACATGTCACTGCTATGTGGATACCCCGTACGGCGAGCTGGATATAAGTCCCCTGGGGGGCGGAGGGATTTGGCCCGCATGCAGTAGTTTGAGGAGCCCTTGTCTAAAGCTTCTACCTGATTACACTTTAGTTGTAGGCCTATTTTATACTTCTAAAGCGAACCTTAATTCACCCTTGGTCTTTTTTGGTAAACAAAATCATACCGGGATACACTTAATGGCATCACTTAATTTCAATTTATGACACAACCCAACACAGGACTTCGTGGACGAATTATTTACACTAGCCATTGTACACACTAACACGTGTGTTATGTTAATCCGTGATTGATGGCTCGTTCCCTCCCACAAACCTTAAGAACTTTCTTAAACTAAGACAGCTTGAGTGTCTGTGTCTTAAAGACATCTAGCGCTCACGCTTCCTTCTCAGCTGTGTTATTTTATGCTCTTGTCTGGGTTGTTTGAGGGGGGGGGGCGCAGAGGCGTAGCTAGAGTGTCTGGCGCCCGGGGACAAGATTCATTACAAATCCATCCATCCATCCATCCCTGTGGCGCTACAGCCCAATGTAGGGCTTTGGCCTGCCGCACTACTTCCTTCCACTCAGACCTAACGAATGCCTTTCTTTTCCATGCTTGGACTTTCAGCTGCTGTAGATCTTTTTCTACATCATCTATCCACCTAAGCCTGGGTCTGCCTTTGAGCCTTTTTCCTCTGGGGTATTGGTGATGCACCCTCTTCGTTCCTCTGTCATTTGGCATTCTCTCTAGGTGTCCTGCCCAGCGTAGCCTGCCTCTTTTTATTTCTGCCACTATCGTAGGATCCTGATATAGACTGTTTAATTCCTGGTTGGTTCGTATTCTCCATCCATATTCATCCTTTGTTGGCCCATATATTTTCCTGAGAACTTTCCTCTCCCATGTGTTTAATAGATTTTCTGCTGTTTTTGTTAGGGTCCAAGTTTCACTTGCGCAGAAGCATAGCTAGAGTGTCTGGCGTCCGGGGACAAGATTCATTACAAATAGCCTCCATTAATTTTTTCAACTCTCAAACCCTTTGCTTTCATTAAAAAAAATAATATCTAAGCACATTTTGGCACCCTTAACTAGCCTGGCGCCAAGAAAATCTGCCCCCCTCCCCATGCCCTCGAAAGCTAGGCTTCTGGGGGCGACAAAAAAAAAATGGATACAGACTCAGAAAATAACAATAAATGTTTTTTTAAAGACATTTTATTTTGTTTTTTTGTGTGTGCCTCCTCTTCTTGTTCAATTTCTCTACGTCATCTCAGTAGAGTATCTAAGGCATGCGTGGGAAATAGGGGGAGGGGGATTATATATGTGTGTTGTGTGTTAGGAGGGCACACTTTTGGGGGGTCGCCCCTTGAGCCATTTAGTCAGGATACGCCACTACACGGTCGGCTACCTAACGTCATTTTGTGTGTAGCAGCAAGTAATTTATTTTTTTTTTTTTTTTATAGTTCATTATTAGTGTGCTTCCCACTGTCACGCAGTGTGGTGGGTTGGGGCTCCCCCCCACCCCGTTTGCTCCACATTGTCACCGACATCCCCCATACCTATGATCTGTAATTCCTTTTTCTCACCGTATCATGCTGGAGGACCCCCCCCCCCAACCCAACACGCACACTCTTTCCCCCTGACATTGTGCTTTCTTATCAATGTCAATTTGAGACAACCTTCCCGTAGTTCAGCACCGCAATGCTTCTCCCACCTGATGTCTTTCTTCTACCTATTTTTCTTTTTTTTTAATTTCTAAACCCGCCGCTGCTACCACCCTCACCTTACTCCAACCTATTACACGTCCTGCAAAATTTTCCACCTCTCCAGACATATACGCATATTTATGTGATAAACGACTCAGGAAATGTACCCATAACCTATTTCCCTAATCCTGCTGTCCCATGGTGCTATGCGCCCTTTCCTGTTGAACAATAAATAGTTTGTGTTACTCTCCTAACATACCATGCTCTCGAAGTGGTATTGCTAACTTACTTTTTCAAAGGTATACGCACTTTAATCCCTTGTGGCTCTGGGTTAGCACTTATCCATTTCGGCTGCATCGGTGTCCAGTTGTTATTTGTGACCTACATGTTTGTAAATATCTGTAAAAAGCACAATCTCACATAATTAGTTAAAGAGGTCTTTATAATTTCAAGTCATAGCGTCAGTGGCGTAGCGATAAAAAAAAAATAATAAGGGAGTGGGGGCAAATGCCCCCGGTTGCCAGGCCAGTTAGGGGGGGGGGGCAAAAGTGGGTTTTTATTTTTTTTTCCTGAAAAAAGTGGGTTTAGAGTTTTTTTTTAAAGAGGGGGGGTGGGTGGGGCGGGCGGGAAAAAAAAATATCATGCCCCGGGTATAAAAAAAAAATAATAAGGGAGTGGGGGCAAATGCCCCCGGTTGCCAGGCCAGTTAGGGGGGGGGGGGCCAAAATGGGCTTTTATATTTCATTCCTGAAAATAATGGGTTTAGAGTTTTTTTTTAAAGAGGGGGGATGGGTGTGGCTGGCGGGGAAAAAAAATATCATGCCCCCGGGCTACGCCACTACGCAGAGTCAATAGAATTTGTAATGCAATTGTGTCACAGGTCACAAGGGTTCTTAATATGTTTAGTGCCATTGGTCGGTTTTGCAAGTTTGGCGCAGACTACAAAACCCAGCATATTATAGAGATGGACCAACCAATTATTCCCTTTCTATTCAGGTTTACGAAGATAATTTTTTTTTTATTTTATAAGCATCAAATTTTGGGATAAATAAAACTATTTCCCCCCAGACCGGGAGAAGACAATAAGTTGATTATATTTAAGATAAGTTCGCAGTTTATGCATATCCTATATCTCTATAGGACCATACAAGAGACCGTCTAATTTTCATCAACGTTAGTGTGTAGTAGGTCAGCCAAGAACAATGCACAGTCCACACGAAGAATTGCTGTTTCTCCGATGACAACGATGCGCCCCACCCCCACCCCCCTCCTTCCTACACCTGACACACAAACATCCTTGTCTGACCTCCAAGCTAACGTCAATGTCACATTTACAACTGTAAATGGCGACACGAATTGGCCAGGACGAGAAGTGGTGACATGGGGGGGGGAGTGGGGGGGGCGCTCGTACTTTTCAAGGAGACTTAAGCCGTAAACGTTTTCTTTTTTTGGTTTGGTGGGTCGGTGTAGGTCTCGCTTGAACACCCTTTTTTGAACAGTGCCTCTCACCAGTCTCAGTCTGAAGTTTCCTGCTACTATAGAAGCTGAAACTCCCATACCATGT